GTGGTGGTTCCTGCAGCTACAACAATTATTCCACTCGAAAAAAGTGAAAAAAGGCTTGGAGATCATCATTTCCATCTCTAGTAGCTATAACTGCCTCCATTTAAACAACACGAAATGAGTTTCGTTGGTGGCTTTCCAACTGAGTTGTAACCTCATACACAAACTTTGTTACTTGGATCCTCAATATAAATAATCAAAGAGAAGTGAGATATAAATAAATTGTTACCTTTTTCTGTAAAAGTGGTTAAAAAAAACAATTGTTTTACGTACGTATCAGTTATGCAAAGATTTGCTTTTCACAGAATCTTATATAATATGAGAAGGTTTTCTTGTAACTTTTCCTACCATTGCGACATTTGGCATTCTCTTTTGGTGACATGTGTCCTCCTTCATTGCATCAATGTTTGTATTAATTTATTTAAAATCTTTAGTTTTGAAAGTTGTGCCTACAATTTAATTCCAAAAAATTTATTTCTCTTATCCTATTGGTACATTTGACATGTATTTAAATTGAAATTATATCTAATTTATTTTACCAAAATTATTATCTACTTAAAATCACCAATTATCCTATTGGTACAATAGTACATTTTTAAAACTTCTCATAATATTAGTACATTTGGCATCTATTTTTAAATTTAATTGTTTTCCTCATTTTTCTATCTTACATAATATTTTAATATCTCCATAAAATACATTTCTAATCTTTTCTAATTTGTCCTTTTTTTCTTCTTTCCAATTTCACTTTTTTTTTGTTTTAATTTTTATAACACCAATTTATTCTCAAAATCACCACTTATCCTATTGGTACAATAGTACATTTTTAAAACTTCTCATAATATTAGTACATTTGGCATCTATTTTTAAATTTAATTTTTTCCCTCATTTTTCTATCTTACATAATATTTTAATATCTCCATAAAATACATTTCTAATCTTTTCTAATTTGTCTTTTTTTTTTTCTTCTTTCCAATTTCACTTTTTTTTTGTTTTAGTTTTTATAACACCAATTTATTCTCAAAATGACCACTTATCCTATTGGTACAATAGTAAATTTTTTAATCTTCTCATAATATTAGTACATTTGGCATCTATTTTTAAATTTAATTGTTTTCCTCATTTTTCTATCTTACATAATATTTTAATATCTCCATAAAATACATTTCTAATCTTTTCTAATTTGTCTTTTTTTTTCTTCTTTCCAATTACACTTTTTTGTTGTTTTAATTTTTATAACACCAATTTATTCTCACACGTTACAACTCCAAGTTGGAGTATTTATTTACAATTTTTATTACACAATACATTTAATGTATTTATATAGTATAATATAATTTACAGGAATTATTAAATTTAATATGTCATCCCATATATTGTTTTATAAATGTCTTAGTAAATGAAATTCTAACTTATGTAACAGTCAATGTAATTTTAATAAAGAAATATAGTAACATGCATTATATTAATGTATTGCTCCATGTGTTACGCCTTTTCTTAAAATAAATGTTTGTGAAGAGTTTTCTTCTCCAGTAACGCTTTTCATGTGGCTTCTAATACCGAAATATATTAGTGTTTTTTTTTGTTCTGGAATTAGTTACCCAAAGTAAAACCCACAAATGAACTTATTAAAACATATGTAACGTCAAACAACTCTAAATTGATGCATTAGGCTAACAGATAACCACAATAACTCCAATTTACTCAAAACATTAAATCCAATTAATTCTTGTATATATTACCCACATGTGAAGCTAAAAAAACTCTTGTAGAGTTTTTGCTTTTTCCAGTCCGTTCTTTTATTTTTATTGACTTTTAGTTGCTTTCTCTTTATTTCGGCTATCATCCACATAATAAAAATATCTACAAAAGTTTTCTCATTTGGTGTTCAAGTTAATTAGGTTTGTGATTTCATATGGTGTTCAAGTTAGTTTCACCAACACCATTAGTTCTACATAAAAGTGTTCTATTTTTAAGTTCTATTTTAATTGTTTCTCTATTTTTCAACTCACCAATAAGATTTATATACATACATTGAGAAAATTTATATCTATTATTATGGTCAGTTAAAGTGTAATTATAAATTTAAGTATTTAGATAAATGGCAGTTCATTATATATATTAAATTTTTTTTACTCTTATGATCTATATGTATTCATAAATTTGAAAACCATAAGTTTGTTAAAAAATTTATGATATAAATTGAAAAACCATTTATGTAATTATTCTCAACATCACTTATCAAAAAGTTAAGAGTTTGTTTTTTTTTTTTTTTTTTAATACGTAAAGTTGTTTCAAGATGATTTTGTTCTTGAATACGTAAAACTAATGGGACCATGAGTCAAAAAAAAAAATCAAATAGTTTATGCCATTCTTTATTTCTTTTACATAATTACTCAACGTTGGAGAGGGATCGACGTTTGAGTTTCGTATATCTCGAGTAAATAGTTTTCTGATTTTTAATACTGTATAACATTTGACTTGATTATGTTTTGCATTCAATTTTTTTTTAGTTATTCATACAAATTAAGTAAGAAATAAAGATCATATGAAAGAATATAAAATTTGTATTTATTTTTATCAAAGTTTCCATAAAACCAACCCAATGAAATTCAACCTAAAATTTTAAAAAGTTCCACCAAAGGTTTTTTTTTTTATCTATGCTCATGGGATTTTTGAAAAGAATTATGTTTGATAAGGGTAATTGCATAGAATATCATAATTAACTTATTCAGTTAAAATCTAACATGTCATTAAAGTATTTAGGTAAACGGCATTACATTATATTTATTAAAGTTTTGTTTTCAAAAATAAAATTTTTATTATATCATCTGAAATCATTTTCCTAAATTAAATATGATTATAATTAAGTGTAACATATATTTTTTTCTGTGCAATGGATGATTCAATTTAACTTAGGTTTGGGCCAGGTCCATTACAAGAGAAACCAGAGACTGTTTTGCCAATGAATCGGCATCAGAGTTCTGCAAACGGGGAATGAAACTAAACGAAATAACATCAAAGGTATAAGATAAATTCAGGATATCGAAGAGAATCCCATGCAGCTCCTTGTACTGAAGCTCCGATTTTAAAGCTTTGACTAGCTGTGCTAAGTCAGAAGCGAGAAAGAGATGTGAAAAACCCAGATTAACATATATAAAATATGTTTTTGCTCATTTGGAGCACCTTGCTATTTTATTAAATTTAATCATTATCACAAATTATTTAAATTTCTCTTTAATTTTTAACATATATAGATAAAATTAAGCAAAAAAATTAATAAATATGAATATGTTTTACCTTTGATCTCCTAATTTTATTATGGATTATATGGATATAATATGAAAGTTTATTGTCGAGGGAAAGTCATGAGATTGGGAAGATCTACCTTCTGATGAGATCCAAGGAGGGAAAACGGCCGATATCAACCCCAATTATCAACTCGAACCCACATAAATTTTAAATAACAAACCTGAACTATGTAATCGTTAGCCAATTTTAACATATACCTGTTATTAAATAATGTAACAAACCTGAATTATTTAACCTTGTGTCAATTGAATAAAAGTAATGATTCAGATACAAAAGAACAGATAATTACGACTTTACAATTCTAATCGACATTAACAAATACAAAAAAAAACTATGTTGAAATTGGATAACAGTTAATTTAGGTTTGTTTTTTAAAAATGGTCTGAGTTCGGGTTGATAAGTGATGGGGTCAGAGTTTGGGTTGAAAAAAGCTGCAGAAAAATAGTTGAAGTTGATTTTGGCCGTTTTCCCGATCCAAGGATCGTGAATCAGCAAACAAGAGACTCTATGATGAGGTATGATATATATATTTCCAGAATAAAATATTTTATGTAAATTAAGAAAAAGTAGTGTCGTATATTTATGTCATACCACCATGAATAAAAAAAGAACAAAATTTATTTTTAGCAATTCACAAAAGTACTTCGAAAAGAAACATAAAAGTTAATATTTTAAAAAATTCTTTTCAAAAAAACTATATTAATAATCGAACATATTACTTTAATACAAATTTTATTTTTATTCAGAATTAATATTAAATATGTAACCCACGCATCGCGTGGGCAGCTTTCTAGTAATAGAATAAGTTTCAACTTTTCTATGATTTCTTACATATATCTTAGTTTTAAAGACTATTTAACGGACTATATCATCTCATATCAATCAAAATATAATTAAACACTTATTTCTTACCGTCGCATGCACCATGTAACTTGTTAAGTTTTTTTTTTTGGGATAAAGAACATGTTAAGTTAGAACGATGGCTTCTATAACTAATTAAGGAGTGCGTGTGGGCTCAATATACTTGGACTTGATCCACGGATTTCGAGTTATCATAATTAGACATACACATGTACCCATCCCGAACATGAATTCAGATTACAAAAAGCAATATGTATATATACATACATAATTATATTCATCATATATAATATTAAGAGAGGTAAAGAAGGAAGTGTTATATATTGTGGGGGTGAGAGTAGACGACAGAGATAAATGGATGCCATCATTTCTCATCAGAGACAACTGTTGCAAAGTCTTGGGATCGAAGGCAGGAGCTTGGGACACTAATCATGGCTTTCAGGAATTATAATCATCTCCCTCTAATTGCAGAGAGAGATGGCCTAAAAGCTACATTAGATTATTATACAAAACTATACATATATACAAATACTGAAAAATAGAAAAGTAGGGCATATACTCTAGAAAGTGAGTCCATGAGAGAGAAGAATTTCATTATATAGATATTAGAAATATAGTTTTTTTGTTATTGTATTATTGAATGATTTTTCCCCTCCTTTCTTTTGAAGGTTTATTGCTTTTCAGAATATATAGGTACTTGAAATAGTAGAGAGAGAGATGCGTCAAGCTTCAAAAAAGCTAAGGTAATGTTATGTGATGTGCTTTTGAAAAGAATAGAGAGCTTTGAGAGGGCACATATATACCAACAAAAATTTTGATTAACTACTTCATCTTAATCTCTTGGGATTTTCAAGAGAAACTCTTCAAAAAATCATCTTTCTTTACACACACACATATACACAGATACAGAGATCAGATATAATAAATACATATATATTTATAGCATCATCATATCTCTCATACATACATGGACTCTGCTAATCTCCATCAGCTTCAAGATCAATTACAGCTTGTGGGGTCTTCTTCATCTTCTTCTTCCTTAGACAATAACTCTGACCCTTCTTGCTATGGAGCTTCCTCTGCTCATCAATGGAGCCCAGGAGGTATTTCTTTGTAAGTTTCCTCACTCACTCTCTCTCCTCTCTGATGTATCATATATTTACATGGCCATGTATATATATACATCCTTTAACACGTGTATGCTACTAGGTTTCTGCAGCTATTTGGGTGTTTTGAATATTCCTGGTATCAAGAATTTGGAATCTGTCTTCTTCTTTTTTTCCTTCTTTTTTGGTTTTGAAAGATAAGTTAGTGAAGAAGACAACAAGATAGAATTTAAGTGGCTGATAAATTATTAATTGTCTAGTATATTATCCTTCATATATATACACACATGGTACTCTGATTTTGCATTGATTCAAAATAAATAAATTTTTTCTGTGGTTTTGTGACAGGAATAGTGTGAGCTTGAGTCATAACTACAACAATGAGATGTTAAACACAAGAGATCACAACAACCACACAAGTGAATGTATGAGTCTCTCCACCATTCACAATCACTCCTTGATCCAACAGCAAGACTTTCCTTTACAATGGCCTCATGACCAATCTTCATATCATCATCATGAAGGACTTCTCAAGATCAAAGAAGAGCTTTCCTCATCAACTATCTCAGACCATCAAGAAGGAATATCCAAGTTCACAGACATGTTAAACAATCCAGTGATCACAAACTATTTGAAGATCAATGAACATAAGGACTACACAGAGAAGCTTCTTCTAAAGAGTATATCTTCTGGTTTCCCCATCAATGGAGATTATTGTAGCAGCCTTCCCTCTTCTTCTTCTTCCTCTTCGCCTTCGTCTCAGTCTCATAGAGGGAATTTCAGTCAGATTTACCCAAGTGTAAACATATCGAGCTTGAGCGAGTCTCGGAAGATGAGCATGGACGACATGAGTAACATCCCAAGACCATTTGATATGAACATGCAGGTTTTTGATGGAAGATTGTTTGAAGGGAATGTCTTAGTTCCTCCTTTGAATTCTCAAGAGATTAGCAATCTTGGGATGAGCAGAGGAAGCTTTCCTCCTTTTGGCCTCCCTTTTCATCATCATCTGCAGCAAACACTTCCCCACCCTTCTTCTTCCCCTACTCATCAAGTAAGTTTATTTCAAATTATTACTTTCTATTTCTTTTATCTTTTTGCTTTTCTTTCTTTTTAAATATAAATGATGGCTTAGAAGGATTGGTCTGACGGTGTATCTCGTGAAGTTAGTGCATTTGAAAACATTACGTTTAGGGCTCTATTTCTATTATGTAACACATATATATATATATATACACCCTCATTTCTGAATTTTAAAATGTAGTTTAAATATTACTACTGTTTATTAGCATAATACGGCATGGTTACCTTTCAGCTTTAATCACATAATTTCAATATAATTCACTCATGAAAGAGTATCTAAAAGATTAGTATTCTGTGTATGCGTTCAACTTTGTTTATGCATCAATGGAATAGATTTCAATATTATTCGCATATATATCTCTTTGCATACTTAAAATCATATTCATAAGGTGGATAAAATATCATGCATGTTCATTAAAAATTTGTGGCAAATCAGAAAGAAACAGAAAATGAACTTGAAACTTAGCAAAAAATAAAAAGAAAGACTGAAATATTATTATCATGAAGTATAGGTAGATTAATCAGATTAGTGTAAAGTGCGAGGCCTTTGTGCAATATTGAAGCTTTGCAAAAAGTTATGAGAAAAAAAAAAGAGAGAATAATATATACGTAAAAACTTTTAATCTTTTCTTTTGATTCATCTTTTACTTTGTTGTTGTGATTCTTGGTTGGAGGGCCAAAGCTTGAGCTATAAAACCTTTTAACATAATTCATAAGCAGCTCTCTTTAAGCTGAAACATCAACCTTTGTTCTCTCTTTTCTTTTCCTTTCTCTTTATTCCTTACTTTGTTTTATTGTCTTTTTATGAATCTCTTTTCTTAACATTTTTTCTCTCATTGTCGGGGGTACTAATTATTACGTACCATTATTATTCTTTTACATCGAATAACAATAATGAACGTTATAAATACTTATATACATACATTTTTATATGTGTGTGACTGTGTGTGCATTACTTATGGGGTTTTGATTTGGGTTGAAGATGGAAATGTTCAGCAATGAACCTCAAACAAGTGAAGGGAAGAGACATAACTTCTTGATGGCAACAAAGGCAGGCGAAAATGCTTCCAAGAAACCGCGCGTGGAATCACGCTCCTCTTGCCCACCCTTCAAGGTTAATACTTTTGTTTTTTAAATAATTGCCTCTTAATTATAATTGTTTTCTTTATTCTTTTTGGAGAAACAAAATAAAGGCTGAACAAAGTTTAGTAGTAGTTAACAAGAAAAATATTTAAAAGAAATTGTCTAATTGGAGAATATTGATTAAATATATATATATATATATATAGGGAAAATTGGATATAAAGGATATCTACTTAAAAATTTGTCCATATATCCCATTTTTTTTGTAGATAGGTCAAATAGGTTTTTTAAAAATCAAAACCCAACTTTACCCTCACTTACTCTCAAAATTAATTCAAAAAATTAAACTTCATAATTGATTTTACAAAATTAGAAAAAGAAATAGAAAAATCACAAAACCTCCAAATGAATAAGAGTCTTTCATAAGACCTAATAAAAGACTTTTTCCCATTCTTTTTTTCATTGCATCTGACGTGTTTTAGAAATATTTTTACCAATGTAAACTCTAAACTCTGTCTCACTTTCTGTTTGATTTAGAAATTATCAGCTATGTCTCAATTGGTGCATGTGTAAATTGTTTCCCATATCTCTTATTGATCTATTTAGTTCACTATATTTTTGTGTGTATGTGTGTCATGAGTAGCTCAAGTACGTGTCTTGTTTATTTTTTTTAGTTATAGGTTTTGTCTCTTGTAAATCTTCTTCATCTAAGTCAATTGTAAATCTTTTTTCAGCTAAAGACATCGTCATTGGAAATATCTTTTATGTCTTAATTCATGTTTCAATCTTTATTCAAATTTGTTTCTGCATGTTGAAAACTGTTTTTGTGTTTCCCTAATTCTTGTGTGTGTTTGTACTTTTTCTTGTTTTTAATTGAATCTCCTCTATATATTGTGGCTCATTTTCTTAACATGAAATCAGACCAAAGTTTATGAAATTAGAATTCTTTTGTGATCCTTCTTGAACTGTTTAGATATTTTTTTATTATTATTTTGGTTTGAAAGAGTAGTCACTGAGGATGAATTTGGAGTTTGGTTTCATCTTTAGTAATTAGTACCTAAGGGTTTAGAAAACGTTTTAGGTTTTTATAAAAATATCTTTTAGATCGTAATATAAACAATAAATATCTATTTAAATCGTACTCTAAAACAAATATTTTGTTTCCTTTTCTGAAGATTTACTTTCAATATTTAAAACATTCTAAAAATTACAGAAAACGAAATCTACAATTCCGTAGAATTTACATTCTAAACGAAGAGTACAATTTCTAACGATGGCAGAAGATGTAGAAATTATTAGAACGGCTATTCAAAAATATTTAGAACATAGAGCAAAACGTAGAATGCATGTTCTAAATATTTTAGATATATGGTTTTCGGATTTCTAAAATTTTCAGAACAGAAATCTAATCTAAAATATGTAGAACAAGTACAAAAATGCAGAATACACACTCTAAGTTTCGCAGAACTCTAGAAAACGTGTCCTAACAAAATTAGACAAAACTTTATCTATAAAAAAATCAACTTTTTTTTAACCAAATCTAAAAAATTTCACTTCAAATCACATCTACTCTTGTATATCTACCTATTTTTATGATTATTTTAAAAAAAAAATGTTTAAAATAGGGTGTAGGGGTAATTTCGTCCAAACTGACAATCTCACCAAAAAAGTGTATATGGACAAAAATTTTAGTAGATATCCTTTATTTCTAATTTTCCATATATATATATATATTCAAAAGTTAAGATAATCCCTTGAATGTTTATTGTAGTGTTTATATGTTGGGAAATTGAAAAACAGGTGAGGAAAGAGAAGTTAGGAGACAGGATAGCAGCTCTGCAGCAGTTGGTTTCACCCTTTGGGAAGGTAATTAGTAACAATTAGTTTTACCCAATTTATTCCTTCAATATTATTTCATTCCTTTTTGCCCCATTTTAGAATATGAGAAAAATCATTAATAAATATATGCCTGTATGAAAATGAATTTTATTACAATAAGAGATTTTTGTTTCTACCATTTATAAAGATCGTACTGATCCTTAAGAAAAATATTAAAGATAAAGTTGTTAAGAAAAAGGTTGTTTTCATACATAATTGTTGATGATTAATTACATGAGCTGATTAAAATGTTAAACTGCAGACAGATACAGCATCTGTGTTAATGGAGGCAATTGGATACATCAAATTCTTACAGAGCCAGATTGAGGTACGTAACTTCAATTCATGCATGTCATTCATATCCAATTATCCATACATCCTATACGTACATATAGTTAATTATCAGTACATGACATTATAAGAAAATATATAAACATATTATTCAAAAGGAATGGATTTGGAGTGGTATAACGGTATATACATGGCATAATTAGAGTATTTACTTTGGAGAATAGTTATATATCATATAATTTAATTCCGTGCTAAGTTCCAGACATTTCTTCTTGATCCTCGTCCCGTTTGTCAAATATTCTCAACTTTTTATATCAATTATTACTAAATATACTATCTTCTAGATTAAGGACTTGGACATATACTGTATACTGAATTATGAAACTTTAAAAGACTATTGAGTATGGGCTAACTTATATGAACTTATATTTAATTAGTTCCATAGGGTTTAGCTTGCCTTTAAAGCAAGAGATTAGTTAGAATTGATCTTATTTTATCATATCCTCTTAGGCGCACTACGTAGCAAGTACCTTTCTCCTGTTTCTTGTATGGATATATGTTTAGATAAGCTAATGCTCACGGTCGTCGTTTTATAATCTTAAAAGATTTATTATACGTATAGAAAAAAGAGTAACGTTGGTATAACTCAAATGTCAAATTTTGTTGTTTGATGAGCAGACTTTAAGCGTCCCCTACATGAGAGCATCTAGGAACCGACCCGGAAAAGCCTCCCAGCTGGTATACTTAGAGAACCTATGATTCATTACTAGTTTTACATAAAAGAAAATCATTCCGTATATATTTAGTCCACAAATTACTTATAGTAAAATGTTGATTAGGGCTCACAATCACAAGAAACGGATGAGGAAGAGACGAGGGATCTAAGAAGCCGTGGGCTGTGTCTAGTGCCGTTATCATGCATGACTTATGTTACCGGAGATGGTGGGGACGGAGGAGGCGGTGTTGGTAGTGGGTTTTGGCCAACGCCACCTGGTTTTGGTGGCGGAACTTAGCCGTGGACTTAACAAACCGTAGGACTATTATTTATGGGATTTGGAGGTAGAGAAAGGGAAGAAATATTGAAGGTGGAGTATTAGTTCTTTAATTTCTTTTGGTTTTGGTTTATTAATTGAATGTTTCGGTTTTGATAGTGGAGCAAAGTTGGTCGTCCTGATTAGAAAGAAGAATTACAGGATAGACCAGCTTTGATCCATTTATGATTAGTAATGAGACTTGACGATATGTTTCTACTTACATGAAGGGCTGTGGGAGCTAAATAAAATATCAAATAGCTTTGTATTATTTTGTTAAATCTCTTTTGTAGATAATGTGTCAATATCATGCATTAATCAATGTATTCCTTAAAATATAAGTAAATAAACATATGAATAATACAAGCTCTTGGAAAAATTTCGCCATGTAGTAAAAAGGAAAAAAGGAAAAAAAAAAAAAAAAAGATGTATGATCAATATATGAGCTAGAGCTAGCGCTAGCTAAAAGATGATTTCTGTTTTAGTCACTGACTTTAGTTATCTACTAGAGTCTAGATATATCTTTTCGCATGCCTCAAAACCAGTCAAGAATAGTTGGCACACAAACGGAGTTTTCCTGCTAAAGAAGACATTAACTTGTTGAGGTCACCTATTTGCCTCACAAAACTCTATGCTAATCACTATTAGATGAATTTGATGGTTGTCCAGCTTAAAAAGCCTTCAACGTGAGGATCAGTTGGACCGGCGTCATCTCTAGTTTGAGTTGGCAAATCTTTGGACTAGCTTGTCCTTTAATTTGGTGTGTCCATTTCCCCACCTTCTGGACTAGCATGGTCCACTAACCTATATTACAGTGCTGTTTAATATATAATTTTTCCAAATTTAAATGAAAAGTTTATCTTATACAATATCATTAGTACAATGTAATTATATTATTATAAAACAAAATTTGATTTTAACACCATTAAAAACGTTTATTTACCTTCCAATTGGGTCGGCCCCGCCCATGAACCTTTCTTCACCATCAGGCCGGCCCAAATCTTCGGTTCTTTCTCTCAGCGTTAGAAAGGAATATCTTACGTTTTGTTTAAGGAAGTGTTCAAGATAAGTGAACACGTACATGAAAGTTTTCATTTCTAGTTTCGTAGGAATATGAGACATGACTGTCACCAAGAAATATTTATATCCAAATCGAACGTTAAATTAAAGGCTAACAATAGTGTTCCTCCTAATAATAAATCACGGCTTCACCCATTCCTTGGACAACATCTTCTTTTTTCCTGCTATAAACGTCTCCACCGTTGACCTAAACTCATCGCTGCTCAGATCATCCATATCACACAACCGTCTCATACTCCGGCGTAGATCTCCCCGCACGTAAATCCTCTCCGATCTCGACCTTCTATAAACATGATGATCAGTAGCTGTACTCTCAGTAGTAGCTGGAGGCAGAAAAGTCATTTCTTGCTTCCTCCTTATAGCATGAGCTGTCTCCCCCACAGAACTTACCGCCCGGACCATCTCTCGCTTCATTGGTCGTGCCTCTCCGGCGGTTAGACTAACGGAGGTAAAGTCCGTACCCGGCATTCCTTCTGAAGTCTTTTCTTCGCTATCGGATGCCAAAGATCTTGAAACTAGGGCGGAGGAGGAGAAACCGCCAACAGGAGATGTTGCGGAAGAGGAGAAACCGCTACCAGGAGTGGCGGCCGAGGAGGAAACGTATTGAAAATATAGATCGTGTTCGGTTAGCTTCTGGTTGTTAGATAAAGAGAAGATCAGGGCGATGAGAACGTTCACGACGCCAAATATGTATATTCCGGCGCCGGTCAAACCACTAGAAATAATACTCCGGAGATACTCACCGGCGAAGAAAGTTGACGTTAACCAATAGAGTAGAAGTAACACGGCAACGAGAGCTTCAACTGCCGGAAGAAACTTCAAAAACTTTCTCCTCCCCTCGAACCTCCTCATGGCGTCAACTTTCTCAGCCTCAACATTCTCGGAAACAAACGAATCCATTATCTAACCCTCTCTTGCAACTCCGGCTTAGCTTTTCCGAGGAAATTATGAGTTTTAAAATAAAGTGGATGATCACTTAGACTTATCTAATCACTTAGTTGACGATTTTATAAAGAGATATAAAGGACTCTATAATTGGTTCAATAATTGAAACAAACTGGATATATCGTATTTCTTTATAGCTCGGTCGTGGAATTTCATGACTAAAAGCATTAGGTGAATAAGTCCAGTTCCTGAAAAAATACAAAATAAACTCTTTATATAAACAATTGATAGAATTATTAGGGACAATTTGAATAAAGAAGTAGTATATAATAAATTAATAATGAAAAGAATGGTTGGAAAGAGTTGGCGAGGAGGGAGTGGGCAGTTGAAGCTGCACTGCACAGCAACGACCGGGCTAATATAATGCACGGTTGGGCTACGTACACCGCCGGACGAAACTGACACGTGTTCATTACCCATTGTATTTTTGTTTTTTTTTGTACCCCTCAATTGCTACATTCATTGTACGTTTTTGAAATAATAGAGTTATGAGTGACTAGATTCATCATTTGATTGGAGAGTATTATTTTTCTCACATTTGTCTTATTCATTGGTTTTTATATCATTGTGTGTGAGTAGTTTTTCAATTTGAGGATTAGAGTGATTTAGAGCTTTGTTTGACTATGCGGCTCAGATAATGCTAAGGTTGAATGAATCATGTATATGGTTCATTCATATGTAGGTGAATTTAGTGTTTGATTTAGTCGAATTTTCTTACTTATTTGGTTATTCCAATAAAAACCCTTAAAGATATTTGCCATGTATTTACTTAATGACAAGAAGCAGGCTCGTTTTTCAAACCCTTAAGATTTTTTTGTTTTTGTTTTAAAAAAGAAAAGAAAAAATCTGAGGGTTGGCGGTGTTCCCGTCAGAAGATCACGAGGATCATCACATTAAACCTCTGTTTTGTTGATTTCTCTCTCTGTCTCTTTTCCGTTTCTCTTTCCACTGCGAAAAGTTAAAGCTCACTCACTCACACTCTCATTTCTCACCACTTGACAACTTCCTTGTGGACAAAATTAGTCGACTTCTCCAACACTGTTTTCGTTTTCACTACCCAAAATCGAATCTGGGTATTAAAAAAGTTCCATTTTTTTTGTTCTGGGTTTTTTTCTTCTAAAGCTGATCTTTTTATAATCTGATCTTCCTCTTCTACATCATTCCCTTTGTGTCTTATTTAATATTTACTTCAAAAAAGTTGTAGAATCTGTGTCTTGTTCTGAAAAATATGAAGGCTTGCTGTCCAATCAGGAATCAGTGTACGAGTCCCTTTGGTCTCAACAATGAAATTGTCTCTGAGAGAGTTAGTACCTTCTGGGGAACCCAAGTTGTCAAGGCCAATAATCTGACGACACAGAAAATTAGGAGTGCACCTCAGAAGAAGATTCAGACAAACCTCATTCGCTCCGTTCTTACTCCATTTGTTGATCAAGACTCTCATGTAAGTGTTTACACTTGCAATTCCAAACAAAAAACAAGAATTTTGGTTATATGTTTGATTCTCTGACTGCTTTGTGTAATATCTGTATGCTTTCAACTGAATTGATGTCCATGGCCATAATGAATAATTTGAATCTGCCTAGCATTAGAGAACCCTTTCAAACTTTGTTGAAAATGACTTATAATGGTGTGTGCAGCTGCTCAAACTTTAGCTTTAGGTCTACTATAACTAGCCTAGGACTGAATGTAGCAGATCGTAGCTGTTGTGAGTTGGTTTAGCAGTTTAGTGGGTTTGGTTGGGCAAGCAAGTCTCTTATCAGTCAAGTTTTCTCTGGTTTGGTGAATTGAATAAGAATGGTTGTTTTACAGCTTCATTTCTTAAGTGAAGTTCTTGAGTAGCTTTTTTTCTTCCAAGTTCTGTTTTTATATAAAGAGTGCATTTTTCAGGAACCTCTGCTGAGAACTCAAAATGCAGACCCAAAGAATGTAGCGTCTATCATACTAGGTGGCGGTGCTGGGACTCGCCTGTTTCCTCTTACAAGCAAGAGAGCTAAACCTGCGGTGAGGATTGTTTTGTTTGTCCATTATTTTGATGTTTTCTATGATTTTGATTCATTGTCAGTGAGGTTTTCCAACTTGTTAATAATTGTAGGTGCCAATTGGAGGGTGTTACCGGCTGATAGATATACCGATGAGCAATTGTATCAACAGTGGTATTAGAAAGATCTTTATCTTAACTCAGTTCAACTCCTTCTCTCTCAATCGCCACCTTTCTCGTACTTACAACTTCGGCAATGGAGTCAATTTTGGTGATGGGTTTGTTGAGGTGATTGCATTACCTGCCAAGATTAGATTTATCTTCTTGTGTTTTTATTTGCTATTAAAGTGTCTCCTATGGGAATGATTAGGTTCTTGCTGCAACCCAAACTTCCGGAGATGCAGGAAAGAAATGGTTTCAGGGAACTGCTGATGCCGTTAGGCAATTTATATGGGTCTTTGAGGTTTTCTTTTGTCTTTCATCTCTTAGTAAGTGTTCTTGTCTGTGCGATAAACATTGTTGGAAACATAATTTGGCGGTGTTTATGCAGGATGCTAAGACAAAGAATGTGGAACATGTCTTGATCTTGTCTGGGGATCATCTCTATAGGATGGATTACATGAACTTTGTGCAGGTTAGATTTATTATTCTTATTTGTACACACTGAGCTTCATGTGAACTTTGTTTCATTTCTCGTCTGTCTTTGCAGAAGCACATTGAGTCAAATGCTGATATCACAGTTTCTTGTCTTCCCATGGATGAGAGGTGTGTTTGAGGATCATTAACATTGTTTGTTGCCTTGTTTATTCAATGAACTTATTTGAGTTTTTCCTTGTTCACAGCCGTGCTTCGGATTTTGGGCTGCTTAAAATTGACCAGTCTGGAAAAATCATTCAATTCTCGGAAAAACCAAAGGGAGATGAATTAAAGGCAATGGTAATGATTTCTTTTGTTTGTCAAAACATTCAGTACGCAAGTTAAACTCAACTCATATTCTTGCTTGCAACATTACGGTAACTTAATGTTTTCTGCGTTTTCAGCAAGTTGACACTTCCATTCTTGGGTTACCACCGAAAGAAGCTGCGGAGTCCCCATACATTGCATCGATGGGTGTTTACGTATTTAGAAAAGAGGTTTTGTTAAAGCTTCTAAGGTCAAGTTATCCTACATCCAATGACTTTGGTTCTGAAATTATCCCGTTGGCCGTAAGGGAGCATAATGTTCAGGTCTGTTTATTTTTCTTTTTTCTGTTTAGCCCATCACATCATCAATCAATATTTGTGTTTCCTTTGATCTTTATTTATTAACTTGCTGCTACATACAAAACCGGAATGGCTAGGCATTTTTGTTCAATGACTATTGGGAGGATATTGGAACCATAGGATCATTCTTCGATGCCAATTTAGCCCTCACAGAACAGGTTTTCACCGACCCAATTGTTTCATCTCCAGTACAGTGTGGTGACTCAGTGAAACCTAATCATGCTATTTGTTTCTGCTTTGGCAGCCTCCTAAATTCCAATTCTACGATCCAAAAACACCCTTCTTCACTTCTCCAAGATTCCTGCCACCTACCAAAGTTGATAAATGCAGGGTACGATGTCTTGAGTTCGTTTAATTATCCCGTTGTTTCAGCTGATGATTCATTGATCCTAATGTTGTAAGATTTATCCTTGAACTGCAGATACTTGATTCTATAGTTTCACATGGATGCTTCTTGAGAGAGTGCAGTGTGCAGCACTCTATCGTTGGCATACGATCACGTATAGAGTCTGGAGTAGAGCTTCAGGATACAATGATGATGGGAGCTGATTTCTACCAAACAGAAGCTGAAATCGCGTCTCTTTTGGCGGAAGGGAAAGTTCCGGTAGGGGTCGGCCAGAACACCAAAATCAGGAATTGTATCATTGACAAGAACGCCAAGATCGGGAAGAACGTGGTCATAGCGAATGCAGATGTATGTTTTCATAAGTCTTTTTGTTTTTTTCCGAAGAAATCGCAGTCTGACTTTGGTTGTGATGGGTTGTGGTAGGGCGTGGAAGAAGGAGATAGGCCAGAGGAAGGGTTTCACATAAGATCAGGGATCACCGTTGTGCTGAAGAACGCCACCATTAGAGATGGTCTGCATATTTAGCTTTTAAACCTCTCTTAGGAGCAGTGTATGTCGCTTCTTGTGATTTTGTAACGAGACTAGTTACGTTCGATTAATAATTTAATAAAAAAACAAGAGGCACAACAAGTGAGACAGTTTTAGCAACTTTAAACGTGATCGTTATCCGACCTAGTAGATTTTAGTGATTATTTTACGGAAAATTTGTTAAATAGGAATCAAAATACAGAGAGAAACAAATCACAAAAAGGCGAGAAAAAAAGCATGTGTAAAACTCTTCACTCTCATGATCGAGTTTTATGGTACTATAACAAGAGTTTTAAAACTCATGTCTCTTATTCAGTGAGAATGAGAGATCGGGTTCTGAAGACTAAATGGTCTGATCTTTGGAGAAGGTAAAGGACCACTAGAAGCTACCTCACCAACTCCATTAGTGTCAAATTTCTCCAAGGCAAACAATCCTGGAAAAGTCTCATAAGGTAGACTAACTTTTATGTCTGCAATATGTGACATCCCTAGTTTTCTTAATCTTGATTCTTGAGCTAAAACAAAACCCAAATTATACAAATAATATGCATGAAACCTAAACCTTCAAGAATGGTCTCTCACATTAACTTTTATAAGACTGTTTTTGGTTTTAATTTAAATATTTGTGTTTTGGGTCTCTCAAAGATTGTTGGCAAAAAAGTTGTCATTATCACAGGACCAAACTCGCATGCTCAGTGTTTATCATCACCATTTATAATTACATACACCGACTGCTTTTATTTCATTTTATATTCCCAGCCTCATGTCACCGTTACTTCCCGCCTCACGTTGACGATATACGAGAGAATATTTTATCATCATTTTCATTATGCACTTTATTTATTTCCTTAAGAAAAGAGCACAAAAATCACAACACAAGTTTTTCAAAAAAAGCTGTAATATACATAATGATCGTCCGCTCAAGTGGGTTATTGTTGGTATAGGCTTCTTCTTTACTATAGTAAGGCAGAATGAAGTATGAACCTGAGCTATTATAACTTGATTTCAAAACTGTGTGTGAATATTGTAGAATAATAGATTGTATAAATGATTATTTGATTTTTTTTTTTTCGTCAACGCTTATGTATAAGGTATTTTATGTAAAGATAATAATTTAAAGTGACTTTCAGGTCAACACTTGTGATTTTTTTTTGAATTATATATAACGTATTTTAGACTGGTAAAAGCAAAACTAAGAAAACAATAATACGAACTAAATACATTACTTAACCAAACCATAAGATAAGTCTTGTTTTTCTTTTTTCTTTTGGCTTCCATAATTATTTCTAATTATTATTTTCTGTTTGATAACATATTTGAACACACAAAGGCGCACTTGAGAGAATATAAGTACTATCGAAAATAGTTATTTGGGGTTAAGATGAAAATGAGTAAAAAAAAAACCATATATACTCGTCTATTTTTATAAAACAACAACTCTAATTTGGTCCCATGAATCAACCCCATCTAGCAAATTGAAAACTCCAGAAAAGTAAGACTATTTTTATAAATTTTGTGAAATGTTGACCTTTTGTGACTTGTGCTCATGCTCATGCACACCCTACTCCTCCTCTATATATATTACTTTTAGTATCTTCACACTCAATTGCTTTGTTTTGACTTTAATTTCCATCTCTAAGAGCATGCCTTTCGTGTTCCTTAAGGCTAATTGCTCACTAATTTATGCTGCTTTTGAAATAAAGCACTATATTTATATATATTATAACCAGAGCCGTGCCAAGTGTTTTTGATGCCATAGGCAAAATAAAAAATATAATTCAATGTATAAAAATTGATTTTCTAACAAATATATATCACACAAAATGTAGTTCAATATTTAAGTAACAAAACTTAACCCGAATAATTTATAAATAAATTGTTGACAACACAAATAAAATCATATATAAACTAGTTGTGACTGAAATTCAGAGTCTAAAAATGTATAAAGAAATGGTTAAAACAACAAGTGCATGGACAATAAAAACCACAGAATAATAATCTTTGAATTATTGATGGGCAATTAATGTCAAGACAAATAAAGTTAACATGCATCAATAAGTGTAAGTAAAAAACATAAAGTAAAAATGAGTTATGATATGACTAAAAATATGCCCCTCTAGATTTGAAGTAAAATTTAGTGCCGTAGGCGGTGGCTTCTTTTTTTATCAAACAGGCACGGCTCTGATTATAACTATATTTTAGTTTCATTTTCGTCTTACATAAAGATATATATATATATATATATATATTAAGTTAGTCAAATCAAACAAAACATGCAAAAATATACAATTTTCTCTTTCTTTTTTTTGGGTAAAATGGACCAATATTCGTGATCAAGGTTAATTAGACTGGTTTAAGTCGTCACAACTCACAACCTTTTAGCTGATATATTTTTACTCATTTTATACTTTTGAAGTAGTTTATTTTTTCCTATATATAAACTTTTTTTTTTTTGGTTTTGGTCACGAACTAAATATATAATAAAACTAGATCATGACCCGTGCTGTATAGCACGGGATTTAATATTTTTCATGAATTAAATTGTATATTTTGTTCGAAGAAATAAGAAATAATATAGTATAATAATATAATATAAAAGGGAATATATCATAATATTTTATATTTATTACTATTTGAATATAATGTTATATATTTTATTTGACTAAAGAAGAAGAGAATATTGTATTTTAGAATTTAATATATTTAGCAGCATTATATTTGTATTTTTTATATGAGATTAACAATTTATTTGGTTCAATTAGGTATTGATAATTTTATTGTGTGATTGTGAATAAACAAAAAAATAGTTGTATTGGGTCTAAGTTTTTTAATGGATTATATTGAGTTTGTGGGGCCCAGTTTCATGGTTTAAAAAAAAAAAGAAAAAAAAAACGGTTTAACATACCTTTGGAATTTGCTGATGTGTTCATTTTTGATGTCTACTTGAATTTTGTTACCTTGTAATTAAAATAAGATGACTTAAAACTTACGGCACATATATTACAAAGAGAATTGTATAAAATTTCAATGGTACTTACAGCCTCATCTGTCAAAATCATTTCCAAAGACATGCCAGAACCTTTTGTAAAATGAATCCACGAATGAAGTATACTAACTTTAATACACCAAAAAGTCTTGACAGGCTTCAAGTTGTTAATAGGAGTGTAGCGACTAACCATAGCCATTTCTGCTGTATTTTTAATTGTAGGATATGAGAATGGTGCTGAGATGATTTCTGTGAGAAGGCTACGTCAAACCTAAATGGATATTTATAGTTGTAGATTGTTTGTGATAATTAGGAGATTCAGAAATATATTAATTAGCATAAAATAGTTAGATAATATTTTAGAAAGGTATATTCTAGATTATTTGGAATATAGGATCAAAATTATATAACAAAGAGATTTGACAATCTTTAGAAAAGATTTTAAGGAAACTGAATAGCTGATTATATTGATGCGTGATTAACCTAAACAAAAAACGTAAAACCAAACAAAAAACGATCTAGAATATAACAACTATTATAACTTATTTTTTTTTATAAAGGGTTTTAAGGAAATTGAATATATTCTCAAAGATTTTAGGGAAACTGAATATATTCTCAAAGATTACGAATTGCTTGAATACGAATTTATATCTAAACAAAATATAACAACCTAATATCTTTAAGATCTTTAAACCCGTTTTTCGTTATTTGACCCGTTTTTTAATTAATTTGTTAATGTTAGTGACATGAAATTAAAATGATTATGATTATAGATCTCTAATGGCATATATTATAATTTCTTACAAAATTAATGTTACGACTTATAGGATGTACCTTCCAAATAATATTATAGGATATAACATTTTGAATAACATTTTCAATAACATTTTCGAACTATATGAGTATTATAATTCAAAATAGCATTTTTTATAAATTGGATTGATATAAAATGTTTTCAATGATGTATCATTTTCATTAACATTTTCAATAACATTTTTTTATAACATGTTCGAATAATGGATTACTATATAACATTTTGAATAATATTTTCAATAACATTTCCGAATAAAATATTAGTATATTAGTATAGAATTTTTAATAATTGTGTTACATTTTCGAATTGATTAGTATATAACATTCTCGAATTATATTAATTATGTACTATATAAACAAAATCTTTTAATATCTTTAAACCCGTTTGACCCGTTAATATATATTAGTGAAATGGAATAAAATGATTATAATTAGAAATCTCTAATGGCATATATTGTAATTTCTTACAAAATCTAAGTTATGACTCTTAGGATGTACTTCCCAAATATTAGTATAGATTAGTTTTCTTTTTATCCAATGTGGAACGAGTTAGCTCAAAAAAAAGACTTGAGAGAAAGAAGACAAATCATTGTTTTATGTATATAAATGGAGTGTGAAACAATTGACATACAACAACAAAAACAAAAATATTATTTCCATGTTCATGATAAAATCTTATCCCTAATTCCCATTTGCCTACCTCTACATGTAATAATGAGACTTTTAAAAGCTTTTTTTATTCTTTTTTTTTGGTAAGGATAGCTTTTTTTATTCAAAGCAGTGATTCATAATTTCAAAAAAAAAAAAAAAGATCAATTTATAACCCTAAATAAATAGCCAATAAGAAAAGAATAATGAAATTCCAAAAGAAATGGTTAAACAAAGCGTATTAACGAATTAAATTGGACATTTATATTTTGCAACCTTCCCTTGGACGCAAACATTTCTCTCCTTTTTTTTACAAAAAAGCTTTAGCAGTACACACCAAACCTTCATCTTCTCTCTCACACTAACAACACTTCTTCTTCTTCCGACTATGGATAAGAAGCACGGCTTGTTCTCCAAGTCTAATTCCCGGCGATCACGATCCAAGAGCCCTGTCAGAAGCGTCTCTCCGATCATCATCCGTCGCCGCAAAGGTCGTTACGTCACTCAACCGGACCGGCACATGTCTGAGATGCTTGCTCCGGTTAGAGAAGGTCCTGATCCAGACGGTGAAGAATCCGGAAGCAGTGGAGATTACTCTAGGTTTGAGAGACGTTGGTACAATTGGATGAAATGTCAGCTTCCGGTGGCTCCGCCGTCAGTATCGTCGTCTTCGGATTTCAAACGAACGGATCTGAGGCTTTTGCTCGGTGTTCTTGGCGCACCTTTAGGTCCTGTGCACGTTAGTGCTCTGGATCTCCTTCCACACCTCAGTATCAAAAATACACCTATGGTGAGCTCTTAATTCACTGTTTTCCCTCAAAAATTAGGGCAGTGTTGGGGATTTGTAGGTAATCGCGAGGAATTAAGCTCTTCTCTGCCATAAGCTAGCTTGAATTTAGCTGAATCTTCTTTTGGTTGCATACTAATAATGGAGAAAGCCTGCGCAATTAATTGAGATTTATCAAAGTTTTATCTCTGCTTTAATGTTCCTTCTTCGTCAAATTCTGATTCTTCTGCTTTATGTGAATCATTTATATGGTGCTAAAGACTAATCTGAGACACATTTATGAATTGTTGTGTCACTGTGTTTAAGGTAAAGTCTAATGACTTACTAAATGCTTGAATTTTCAGGAGACCTCCTCTGCTCAGTACATACTTCAGCAGTATACGGCTGCATCAGGTGGTCAAAAGCTTCATAGTTCTGTGCAAAATGGTTATGTTATGGGAAGAATCAGGACGATGGCTTCAGAGTTTGAGACAGGCTCAAAGGGTTCAAAGAGCAAGAATAATTCGTCAAAATCTGTTGAGTCTGGAGGATTTGTGTTGTGGCATATGAATCCTGATATGTGGTACATGGAGCTTGTTCTTGGTGGGAGCAAGGTTCTTGCGGGTTGTGACGGGAAGCTTGTGTGGAGGCACACACCATGGCTTGGGCCTCATGCTGCAAAAGGACCGGTTAGACCATTACGGCGTGCTCTTCAGGTTAGGATTCTGGTCCCAAGGAAGCCTTCTCATGCATTTTTTCTCTGCATGCATAACTAAATTGTTACTGTTGTCAAATTTCAGGGACTTGACCCGAGAACCACAGCGTATATGTTTGCAAATGCAAGATGCATAGGAGAAAAAAAGATTGATGGAGAGGACTGTTTCATTCTCAAGCTATGTGCAGACCCGGCAACACTCAAAGCTAGAAGCGAAGGGGCATCAGAGACCATAAGACATACTTTGTTCGGTTACTTCAGCCAAAAAACCGGTCTTCTTGTTCACTTAGAAGACTCCCAGCTAACCCGAATCCAAAACAATGGAGGCGAAGCGGTTTACTGGGAGACGACCATCAATTCATACCTAGAAGACTACAAACCCGTCGAAGGCATTATGATAGCTCACTCTGGTAGATCCGTGGCTACGCTTTTAAGGTTTGGAGATATGTCATCAGGACATAACACTAAGACCACAATGCAAGAAGCATGGGTCATCGATGAAATCGCGTTCAATGTCCCTGGCTTGTCTATAGATTGCTTCATTCCACCTTCTGAACTCAGATTTGATTCCCACGTTGAAGACTTATCTCAAGGCCCCAAAATTAGGACATTGCACGGCCATAAAAATGGTTGATGTCAAGAAGCAGGAGATCAATGTGTATAACTCATTCAAAAACAAATCCTAGATCGGTTAATTCTACATTTGCTATCGTCTAAGCTAAAATTCTTGTAGGGAGTTTCGTTGAAGATGTAAATAGACAGCAGGAGAATTTCGTTTTTTTTTTTTGCAGCATAAATGTTAGGAATGTGTATAGTCTCGGCTATTTTCAATTTTCATCATCAACTTAGTAAGGTCAGTCCAATTTTATTATATACTATGATAGAAGCAGCCATGTATTTCACCTAATAGCCAATATAAAGAATTTTACTTGGTCGTCCATACCAATTGGAACTGATGAATAGGATCTTCCTTGTATCTTATATATCATCAATAAAATCAAAGTCAGAGTGTAGTTTCTATTGTAGCACAAACTAAATGTTCTTGGGCTTGTATATCAACAATGTATGATTTGTTATTGCTCCTCTTACTATCTATTCAAACCGATTTCTCATTAGTTTACTTTACTCCAAAAATGGCGATAAGTACTCTGTTTGTCCGTTTCGAGGCATTCAAACCTAAATGTGTGACATGAGCATTTTCGTTGTGTTGAGTTTAAATAATGGAGTTTCAATGGTAACAGCAGACATGACAGATATGGAATCGTTATATTTTTTTTGGGTAAAAATCAGGGCTAATCACTGTTGACAGAAAAATCCTTTGAAAGATAAGGCCGGTTCATTAGATAGCCGGTTCGGTTGAATTGGTACGTCGCTAAAACAAATCGTCTTGTTCACCTTTCTTCTCTTGCTTTTCAGAGAGCGTGCGATTTTTAGGAGGTAGAGAGAGCAATCTACCAGATTCACCGATTACCACCAACAAACAAGGTGATTATCGGGTAATTCAGATTTACGATATCTGCTAGTTGCCTCTATCGATTCCTAAATTAGTTTCTTTGTCTTGTGAAGATCATTATGGTGCTCTCTGACTTCACTGGAGTCGGTGTTGGATTTGGTAATGCCCCATTCGCTATTGTTTTCTCCTTTTAATTTTGATTGGAATCGTAATTTTGTCATTGGAATTTATATATAGGGTTCGGTGTTGGTTGTGGATTTGGCGTTGGATGGGGTTTTGGAGGTTCGTTCTCCACTTCTCTCTCTTTCTCTACTTTACTTGGATAAAATCCGAACTGAGCTGAGACTGAATTACTAGTTAATTCCATCAAACTAGATTCCATTTTGCTCTGCTTGTTTTGTTTGGTGATCATATTGCAGAATTTCTCAGTACAGATTATCTTCTCCTACATATCATCTTCATCACTCAAATGCTTCTCTTTCCTTGCTAATGCTTGCGTAAACGCATGCCTAGAGTCTGTGCGCTTACATTTGATGGATTCATACTATTTGCAAACCTACTGAATTGGAAATCTCTGTTGCTTTCTTGCAGGAATGCCTTTGAACGTTTTAGGTGTTGGTGTAGGTAAGCATTTCAAACACATGGATTATACACAAGCAGGTATTGCTAAATTCTAGTTATGAAACTCATGCGTATTGTATTTGATGAAGGTGGCGGTTGCGGTGTGGGTTTGGGCCTCGGGTGGGGTTTCGGAACTGCCTTTGGGAGTCACTACCGTTCATCTAGACTTACATTTCAAGGCATCGAGTTAGAGACTACCGATAAACGGGAGGAGAAGGTGGCTAACATGTCCAAAAACACCACTTAAGCAGCCATGCTTCAATACTCTGCTCTGATTGATTGTAAACAAAATCTGACATCTTTTCTTATTTCTCAATGAAACGATTACGTCGAATAATCCAATAAAAATGCATTTCTATATTCCGAATTGTTATTTTCACAATGTTCCACTTCACTCTTGGGTTTTTAGTCCCAAATAGTTCTACAATGTTTACTAAGAAAACAAGTGATTGCTAAATGAAACCCGTTTCAAATAATCGAACCAAAAAATGCATTTCTATATTACAAACAACCAACAAAAACAGTGGAATTTACTGTACAGTAAAAATGTGGATTCCCAAATTCGTCTATTTCGCCGTTACACAGAAGATGAATGAACTCGAACCCTGCTATTCCAAACCTGTCTTCTACATTGAATGCACTGCGACTACCACTGCAACAACAAAAATAGGCCATCTCAAAACTCAAAAGTGATGCAGTAAGCTTTGCGTTCTAAACATGCAGGATTCAGTTCCAAAATTCTTACCAATAAGAAAAACTAAAAGAATTATCCAAATTGCAGCGTGAACCGATTTACTATATCGCATTCGATACTGAGACCGTTGAAGTTGCCTCTGTAGAGCTCCATACCAACCGTGAAGCTGCTTTTCATAACAGTCCTCCTCACACTCCATACAACTCTTGCCCTTCTCTAGACTTCCATTCATAACTTGCTGAGAAACAGAAAAAGCATTTTTAGCAAAGATTTTTAAAGCTGGAGGAAACATCTTGCGGTTGGAGATCGATCAAACTCACTTGGTTAGCTTGGATAGGTAATAACGCAGCATCGGAGTCTCCTTGACGATCTAAAGCCTTCCACTTTCTATTGCAATGGTTGGACCCAGGATCCATATAATTTAAGAACCCAGAGAAGCTAGGTACTTTCCTCGGAGGTCGAACCACTGGCTCATCAGAAGATTTCTTCAGTAAACCATCATCAGAAACCGCAATGTTCCAAGCACTGAATTCAGCAGCACTTGCCGTCCTTCTATGTCCATTCGGATTTGCTTTGACAGATTCAGATGGTCCAGTCAAGAAGAGAGCAAGCTCATTACGATCATCTTCATCCAAACGAACCCATCTCGGAGTTCCTTTGCCATCGGATTGCGCAGCTTCCTTGAGAGACTTCTCGATTTTCGACACCTGAGCTTCCATTGCGAAAGTAAACTCCCGATGCCTATCTCTAGTTTCATCACTCAAACGATTGTCATAGCTAGATTTGACAGCTTTTTGGAATTCATCTAACTACATCCAAAAAGATTACAGATTCATAAATCAACATTAACACAACATACAATTACAAATCGAGTTCTGAGGAAAGAAAGAAACCTGCCATTTGGTGGTTCCAAGAGCAGCGTGAAGATCTCTATGAAGCTGTTCAGAGTCCCATACATTTGAAGAGTCTCTTTTCCCATTGATCCATGTCCTGTACGCTGACTCCATCCTACACATGAATTGAAGATAACAACACACATTGTGAGATTTCAGATCTAAAACATGGATTAATTAGAATCGTAATCCCAAATCTGAAGCTCGTCGACATTGCATCACCAACAATAAGAGTTTGTAATTTCACAGATTCAACACAAAAATGGCGAGATAAGGATCCGAAAACGCAAACCTGTCGGCAGATTCCTGAACTTCTTCAGCAGCGGGAAAGAAAGGATCTTTCTCCCACCGATCCAAACTCGTCGTCATCACTTGAGCAGAAAAAAAAAAACTAATTTCCTAAAAATGAGAATCCTAATCCTTGGAAGATGAGAAGAAACCCAGAAATGGAGGAAAATGGATCGAGAAAGATTTCAGAGAAGAGAGGGAACGTTCATCGATTTAGCCAAATTACGGCCTTTCGTTACACACACGTGCGAAATTTAGTACTATTAACGTTTGGTTTATTCAATGTGGTTCTCAATAAACCGGTACGGACTCTCTATAGTTCGTTTCTCAGATTTTTTTTTTTGGTTTGATTAACGCTTTATGACAAAATAATTTACAGAATGAACTAGTAATCATACTTTTGAGTTTTGATTACTTACCTACCTTATACGCAAAAATATATGATGGAAGAAAAACTTTTGTAATGTAAAAATTTATTTTAAGTCTTGTACCATTTCACATTTAAAATTTTCATCAATTTTATTCATGTTATAATCCTTTTATTACAGTTCCATTGTTTCCTGTGGAACATATGTGTGATAACTGATATGTTCTAATCAGATCAATGGATGGTACACAAGTTCCACACACATCTTAAATTTGCAAGAAGTAAATGTTATTTTCTCGCTTTCACTCTAATGATCAAATACTTCTGTTTTCTTTTACTTTCACAAAAAAAAATTGAACCTGCAAAATGAATAATGAAAAAATATGCAACAAAAAGTGTGGGAAAAATCATGCGAATGAGACCCATCACCTGAAACACCTTCTGGTGAGTCACCATATACGCACCTCTCTCTACTGGCGCGGACATGCTGATAACCATCTCTCTGTTATGTCCCAAGTTATATAAATAGTGATGTGTGTGTGAGTTGCTGTGTATTCAATCACACAAGTCCTACTTTCTCAGATTTTAACTAAACAAATTGTGTCGCTAAGTAGAAGAAGCCATCATGGCTAGAGTGATGTTGTGGTTTCTTGTTTCCTTGTATCTATGCCTCATTGGTCATATGATTGCCGAGGCTGCAAGAGAAGGTGCGTCCATGAAGAAGGTAGCCCACTCCACTGAGATTGAAAGAGAAAGTGCGTCCATGAGGAATCAAGCACGCTCCAATGAGATTGGAAAAGAAAGTGCGTCCATGATGAATCAAGCACGCTCCAGTGAGATTGGAAGAGAAAGTAAGCTCATGAGGAATGAACCACACTCCAGTGATCAGATTGGAAAGAGTATCGGACACGTAACCGGATTTAAGGGTGAACTCACAGCTGGTGGCTATGGCGGTGGAGGCCCGGGATATGGTGGTGGTGGTGGTGGATACGGGCCAGGTGGTGGCGGTGGTGGTGTTGTAATCGGTGGTGGATTTGGTGGTGGAGGCGGGTATGGGTCCGGTGGTGGTTTGGGTTGGGATGGAGGCAACGGAGGTGGTCCGGGATACGGGTCAGGTGGTATTGGTGGTGGAGTCATCATTGGCGGTGGTGGTGGTGGTGGATGTGGCGGTTCATGCGGCGGAGGCGGTGGTGGAGGATATGGACACGGCGGAGTCATCACGAAGGAATCCGGCAAAAACTAGAAAAAAACATGCAGCTTTCTTTAGGTCGTAGAAGGAAGGAGGAAGAAGAAATAAGGATGTACTTTAGCATCTTGATCATGTTTAAGAGTTTGTAACGGCATCAGTTTTAATGGAATAAGAACCTTATAGTTTCTAAGAAGAAAAAAAAAAGAATTCGTCCTAAAAGTTTCATGTCTTTTCTTGGGTTCAAACATCCGAGCAGATTCTATTGTATAAGCAATACAATAGCGTTGATCTTGACATCTGAGGCTCCTTTTCCACCACAGCAATCACATCCTTTACAGAGATGGACCGGACTACTTTTGGTAAACCTTGGTTCTTCCTAAATTGTGTACCAACTACAAAAAGTTCGAATATGCAATTAGGAGCACTAAACACAAGAATGACCAGCAACAGAACTGAGATTTACTCTTTCAGATCATAGAAACGGGCTTACCAATTTCACCAGAAAGTTTCTTGGAGTTTCTTGGCCCTGGAGAAGATTTCTGACGTGCTTCAGCCATAAGTTTCCATTTTGAAAACCTATCATCTCCTCCAATGGCTGCATGAACAGCAACATTTGCAGCCTTGGCTCTCTTTTTATCTTCGTCCTTCTTATTTGCCTGACTTGTAATCAATAAACATCTTTCAGTGTACGTATGTGTATATCTCCAAAGGTTTATGTAGTTGGCTCTAGTTCTAAATACCTTCACTTCTTTTGAACGTTGGTCTTCTTTTTCAGTATCATTTTCTTCGTTCTACATCAAAGAAATTTAAAAACAAGACATTATTACTGGTAAGTGGTAACTAACACAAATAGATATTAAGCTCAGGAGAAATCATTACCTTTTCTTCTCCAGCATGTTTCTTTTCCCATTCCTCTTTCACCTTCTGATTCATTTCATTAATTTCTTTCTGGATATCAGACGTGATAAAAGTCCGATTTCTACACTTCTCGGCATCAGTCCGCTGCAAAATCTCTTGTAACTTCAGAAAGATTTAGACACAACAAGATCTAAGGAGGCATGAGATGAGAAAATAGACTGACCTGCTTTGATATTCGTATTATATTAGACAATAGTCCTCGCATCCTCTCCTCTATGCACTGAATGCGCAAAGCCATGAGATAAAAGAAAACAAGAAGAAGAACTTGAAGACTAATAATTCCGAAAAACTGTTGACATCTCACCAGAGACAAGCACCGCTCTACATCATGGTCTATATGATTTAAACCACTTGTTGCCACTGTCACATATGGAAAGCATATATAAACTTCTTCTCCAAATGATTTCAAGTAAAAATCAAAGAAGCAGCTAAGAATGGGTTGAAACCCAACTAATTTCTGTCAGCTTTCTCTTCAGTGGAATTTTCTGCAAAATTGTTCCATCTTCCTCTTCATGCACAACTATTTGAGATGCTTTAGAAACACCACCGTTCTTTTTAGGACCAGAACCTAATAGTCGTTTTTCCTCTTCCTAGAACAGATGCAGAAAGTAATTTGGTTAATTTTTTTCCCTATATCCAGGTTCAAAATGAAAAGTGTAGCAACCAGAAAACATACCCTGAGATTAATGCCACTGACTGCAGTGACATCATTAAACTTTTCAATACTTTCATCTGAAAAAGTCCCACATATTTTTTGCCTCTTTCTGTAAATTAACACATGCTTATAAGACTTCAATTTAGAAATTATAAATTGCAAATAAGTTAAAAACGATATTATCTAAAACTAAAATAAGAAAGGAAGAGTCATTTATGGACGCTGTAAATAATTCATCTTTTACAAACCAGCCAGCTCATTTACCTTGATGGTGGCAGCGAAGAACCTAGTGCCTCAAGAGGTTTCTTCTGACCAACAGAAGGCATTTTGGGTGTCACCGTAACATTAGCAATCTTGGGAATGGTCTCAGATGGGGCAGGTAAATTAACCTGATGTGTACACAAATAATTTTCACGTAAGTAAGATAGATCGTGCATTTACTCTTCACAACCAAAGTTCGAAGCCAGTACAAGGACAAACAGAAGCCAGGGTGGTCCAAAATATAAGCAAAACGAAACCAAATGCAACATCGGTTGAAGAGAAATGGTCCCCCTATGAGCTTAAAGAGAAGATCAACCAAATTGAAATCTGTCTTTTGAAAGTAAAATTTATTAGTTACCATCGTGCTAGAGTCCAGCTGTGTTGTCATTGGAGGAGAAACAGAGCTGGCAGAGGTGGTTGATTTGAATAAACCCATTTTAGAAGACTGCTTCTCCAAGTCATCATTTGAACTAATTGGAATAGCATTCTTCTGTTTCAGTGGAACATTAGTCACGCCTTGCTGCACCAAAGAACGAGGCTTCTGTGCCTGTTCAAAACTTTGATCAATCAATTTATGCTCCACATGGATCACTGATGAAGAAGGGCCCACTGTATGGTCCTTGGTGACTGATCCTCGCCAAGGAGCAGAATATAGAGGCAAGGATGAGTTCTTTTGGAAGTCAGATATAGGACCATCCAGAACCCTACCTGGACCATTTACAGAAGTTGGCCTCTCAAACTTGGGTACTGTCGTCATGTTTATTGTAAACTTGGTTGGTCCTTCAACAATGGCTGGTCGCACATTCTGATTGTTTTCTATGTGCTGGAAATCAGGAAGCTTTGCTCTCGATGATGAACCAGGAGAAGTGACATTTGTCCCTGGGTATGGATTCAGACTTCCAGAGTTGGTATACATATGAAAAGAACTTGATGGAAGCTGCATGTGTTGCTCGGGATGCTTATTTAATCCCTGCGCGGTAGCCGACCTGCTTAAGGTGCCTGAAGTTGTAGAAGGCAGTTGGTTATCATGAACTTCACGAAGATCAGATTCTTGAGCAATGATTTCTGCAGTTAAAGATTGTATCTGGGATTAGTTTTGTATGCTACAAGGAAATCATAAGATAAGATCTACCTGAAAGTTAAGATGATCTATGATAATTGCAAAAGTAAATGGCATCAGCTGAATAATTCATACCAGCAGATTTAGACACTTTGTCATGGTTTGGGCGTCCGGGTACTTTGATCCCCATATTTCCCTGGTTACACATATAGTTCATCTGAAACCAGTAAGCCACAATTCCAAGACAAGAAGTATTCAGCTTGTACTATGCCACTCAATACTGCCTTAGGTAAACGACTTAGCATTGCAGCAATATTCAAGTGAGAATTCTTTATGCTATTTTCTATTTGATAGGGTTCAGAAGTGAGATTTCTTTCTCAGAACATGTTCATATACAGAGAAGGAAGCATATACTAAACAAAGGTACATATAAAAAAACTAAACTCTAGTTGGAGGCAGCAAAATGAAAATCATTAAAGTACTTATAAATGCTAATAAACTTGAAAGGGTAATACCGGTCTTGACTGATGCAGTTGGCTAATTACCGATCTGGTTATCTGATCACCTACAAGATCTCTCAGTTGTTGCATGAACTCTTCTATTGTAAGTTCTTTTCTCTGCAATCAAGTATGAAAAGAAACGTAATGTATTAGAGTCTTCGATCAGAATGCCAATTCATTCATGGATGTAAACTGTAAAGCCACACCTTGACTTTATAATACAGGGTAAGACAATGCGTCTTTATAACTTTGTCGGGTTGGTGGTGGTCTTCCAAGATACGAAGCAAATCACAAACTCGTGCTACTGTAACACCATGATTCACGGGGTCAACAGTCTGATCCACCCCATGAGCTTGTTGGCTACTCATCTTTTGCAGTTTCATATACTGAGGTTGCGGTCTTTCTGATTCATCACCAATAGGATTGTTTATAGGCTTCAGGTTACTTGCTTGGGGAACATGGGAATGATTCTCCCAGGGCTGACCTGGTTGACGATGGCTTTGATTGTAAACTAATTCAATATCCCAAGTGAACAGAAAGGAAAAATCAGTTCAAGAAAAAACCAGCATTGTATGACTAACCATCACTAAAGCATCATCACGAAAAGAACTAACAATATAATTGCATCAATCAACATTCAACAGTAAAATCAAATGAAACATGCCGATACATAACAAACCACAATGACATTCGTGCACCTAAATCAGTCAAGATATATAAAGACATTTCCCTTTTGATAAATATGAATTAGGGTTCAAAACGAACCTTCAATATCTCGAATCAGAGCGTCCTGAAACACTTTCAAGTCATATTCCGAATGCTTAGAGTCAACCTAACCACACAATTAGCGGGAATCGAAATTAAGATGCTTCGGCCACAGAGCGCGGGGATTTTCGCAGACTGTACGAAACTGAAAAGGAGAGTGGAAATATCGAAACGTAACCTCATCGTCTTCTTCGAGGAGCTTGACAATGGATAGATCCATGGAAGGAATCTCGCGGTACCAACGTCAAGAGCTCAAAACGAAGAGGGGAAACGATTTGTTGCATCAAAGATTCCAAATTGCGCAAGTTTTTATATAAAGGGAGATGCTGATGAGAACACCGCGTAGTTTTCGCTTTTGGATAAAAAACACTGCGCGTCGCTCCGTTTATTTTCTCGGTAATTGGGCTTATTTTTGTAATTTCCAAAAGGTAAACGTCATTATTCATTAAATAATCAAAGTTTGATTATTTGAATATAATATTGGAGTTTTGTGAACAGTTGTCACTAATTCATACTCACATAACACTTTTGCAAAAGAGAAAAAAGGATTGTGATTTAACTTTTAGATGAATTAGATGAATTTCTACGCTACCCATGGGTTTGTTTCGAAAATTATTAAGATAAAATATGTTAATTGTTTTTATCGCTAATTTATGTTTATTTTTTGTTTGTTATTGTATACTTAATAAAATTAGACTCATCTTATGTACTTACAATTTTTATTGTTAGATTCGTTTTAAACTCTAAATATCAATTTATACATTTTCATGTATAATCTGATTATTTTTATATCTAAGATTCTACTATTTGTTCATTATCATGAATACACACAACAAGAATACAAGATATTTTGATCTCAAAAGTTTCCGTATGAAAAGAAAAAAAAAAGCAAAAATTAAAGAGTTATTTAAGTAACACTTTTAGATTTTATGCTATTGCATATAGCCATATAAGAGAAATAGATTTGTTTTGAATTTTGTGGTATGTCTAACATCTCAAAAGCCTATTACTTGAAAATTTTTGCATGTCAATGTTACGAACTTACCATAAAATACAAAAATAAAAAGAGAGAATGTCATATGATAAGATATGAATCATAACGTAATAATAATAAAATATTCAAGATAAAATTACTAAACTAATAAGATAGTAGCTAGCAAACAACTAAATTACAACACAAATAATTATTTAGTCATTATCGAGTGATGACCATCGACCATTAAATTTTAAAAAAATATAAAAATAATAAAAGTAAAATGAAAGTAGTAATTGATTTATTAAAATAGTTTTATAATTTTATTTTTATTTTGAAGAATCATTTAAAAATTTGATTAATGGAGGATTAAACACAATAGGAGACTTTTGATTTTCTCTCAATTAATTTTGCTGATTTTTAATTTACATAATATTAAATGACACATGTTATTTTATTGTGTGATAATGTGTTACTCATATGGAGAGAATTGGCCAACTTTTATATATATGATTTTGAAACACGTTTATGAGTCATCATGACCATTGTGTTCTGGACTTCCCGTAGATAATTCACCAAAATAAAGAAGGGATTATCTACGTTAAGTTAAACGACCGTCATGAAAGGTTTTTTTCTAACGAAAAAGTTAAGAGTTTTCTTTGGCACTCTTCTTACGTAAGAAAAAGTCACATCTTTTGTTTTGTTTAGAGCTTTCCAAAATGTGAGAACGGACCATATGGTGAGAAGCGTCTTGATTATATAAGCTTATTGAGTATGGTTATAAAAATATAAAAAAAGAACCAAAAACAGAGTTGTAGTGGTATCACTTTATGCTATTCAGATAAAAACTCAACGCGTTTGTAAAATATGTGGTAAAGAATCGGTTGAATAATTTTTAAAATGAAAGAACAAGAAGAATTGGATTCAGTCAAAGTCCAATTTGGTATGTACAGTCAACAAATTCCTACAGAATACAAACGAAGAAACAAATCTTATCGTCTAAGTAATTTCCTCAAAGTTGAAGTTTGACCGGAAAGTCAAACCGGGCCTTCTTCGCCGGCATAGGGCTCATGACTTCGTCGTCTCCGTTGACCGTTGAGAATTCAGGGATCGGAGGGATATTAAGGTCAAATCCACGGTGGCTGCTGCTGAGGTGGCTAGTGGACCCCGCACCTTCGGAGTTTGACACGCTACTAGTGTTGTTGTTGTTGTTTCCTTCGTAGTGGCACCGCTTGTGTCCGCCGAGAGCTTGACCGGAAGGAAAAGACTTGTTACAGATCGTGCAAACATGTGATTTCCCACTTCCAGTAGTCACGGCGGATGTGGTTGTCGCCGACGACGTTGACTGATCATCTCCTCCTCCGCCGGAATGAGTCTGTGATAAATTTTTACGGTGGCTTGCCTTGTGACCACCGAGAGCTTGGTAAGACGAGAACGTCTTGTCGCAGACGCTACACTTGTAGCTCAACTTCTCCACCGCTGGAGGAGGAGGAGGCTGACGGTTGTCGCGAGCGAGAAGCATGAGGCAAAAAGCTAGATACTCTTCCTCAGTGAGGTTTTGTTGGTGGAAATCGGATCTTGATCTCTTAGATCGCTTTCCCTTGGTCCAGTGCTCGACTCCATGGAAGACTGAAGAATCTTCGAACAAAGGAGGAATCGGAGAAGCTAATCTTGGTGAAGTAAGAGCCTCGAGCGCCATTAAGTTAAAGATTCTGAAGATTTTTGTCTCTGTAGTATTGGTTTGAAGGTTGTTTGTGAATTGGAGTGAATAAAATGTGAAGAATTGTTGAAGAAGAAGTAATGAAAGAGTGTATAAATATATAGTAGTAGGTGGAGTGTGGAGAAGGAAGTTGCGTGACAAGTGGTAGGAAAGTGTGAAGAGTGAAGGTGGCGATTAGATAATTACTTTATTTTTCTAAAAACTCTTTTAAATATGCGGACCAAAGTTGTGTTGAAAGTATCTAGATGTTTTTTTTGGGGTAAAGAGTGGAAAATAATTAGGGCACGTTTGGTTTGACCTAGTACACGTGTGCAAGTAGTGTGAGAAAAAAGAAGAAGAGGTCGGCTATAAGACTTTTCCCTCATTACTAGTGATGCCGCCTTACAAATATATTCTAGAGTTTATGTGGTTTATGGTCGTTGTCATGGATGGTACTCGTATGGTACACGTTTCGGTTTACTTTAAGAAGATAGATAGTTATAACTTATAACAACTAACCAGTTGACAAAAAAAGAAAGAACGTCTTATAACTAGTAACCAATATTGATTTGGAAAGCATCTTCGGAAATGTCTATACACAAGATTCATTTCGAAACGTGTTTTTTTTGCTTCTTATGTTTACATTAAAGTAATTGAGCCGCTTAATTAGGTGATATAAAGTTGGCTAGTTCAGACTTTTTGTGTCTAAAAAAATAATGGTTCGACTGTTCTCGATCGTAAAATAAATTCTAACAGCCTTAAAGGAAAATATTCCAATGATATCTATTTGAGTTGGGTATGATTAAAGAGAGGAATAAGAATCTTTTTTTTTTTTTCCTCTCGAGGAATAAGAATCTAAATGAGGAAATGTATACCATTCAAAGCTTTTGAACAGTTATTCATATTGAAAAGGTGGAGGTAATTAGGACTAATAAGAGGTCTGAGACGGTGCATGATTATTATTAATATAAGAAGACGGTTTCAAGTTTCCATAGTCAAGTCCACAAACTAAATCGAAGGAGCCAACATTGTTGGTATTGGTACAACTAATTTATTAATATTATATTTGTGACAGTAAGATGTGGGAAACGAACTACATTTGACTAAAACAAAAGAGCAACGACATTTGACTTCTTCACGCGGCGCTCTTCAAACTTCAAACCGTCCGGTTTACTTTTTATTTGACGCAGACAGTTAACCGGAAACAGCTAGTGTTACACCAAATTTGGTGAGATAGTGCTATTGCATCACACTACTGTCACTTTTTAGTGTTTCGTTGAAAAGTTTTTAGTACAAAAATTACTATAATGATGTTTTAGTGTCCCGCTAGAAATGGCTTAAGATAATCTCAAGATGATGTTACATTTTTCTTTTAAATATTTTCCGTTCTGAATTTTATTATAGTTATTAATAATTTAAATGTACAGTATATTTGAAAAATCATAAACTAAAGGAGTTTTTGGTAACACGTTATCCGAATAAGACTATAATATATTGATCTTATATAACGCGTCAAGAAATACATATACATATATTAATTAAGCAATTGGATGTATCTGCTACAAATTCTTTTGGGAGCTAGGCTGTGTAATCATGATATCACGAATATGAATTTACTTTCTGAATTATAAAACATGTGTGTGGATTACTAAAGTGTCGTCGTGGTATGCATCCATGTTCTGTATGGATCCAGGTTCAAAACAGTGTGCATAAGACACACTTTGAAAAAAAGATGAGGTATATGTGTAATAAAGGAAAACATGAAACTTGTGAGGTGGATATGTGATGCAGAGAACCAAAAATGTATCTCACCAAAAAAAAAGATCCAAAAATGTATTTGTCGGCGTGTCATCATGCATGGCTCACGCATTGCCTTATGGATAAAGAGCTCTCTCACACCAAACTTGTAACACATAAAAGTACGTTCAAAGACAAACTCAAAAGTGTTATCTAGTTCTCTTTTGGACTAGTTCCACTTGAGATAAGTTTGTGTTTTTTTTTTTTTTGGATAAGGGACTTAATTAGAGAAATTGATATTAAAGTACACTACTTAATTGTGGTATCAGGCATCATCAGCGTAATTCAAATTAATTTTTCTTAAACCCTGTAATATCGTTTTATGATATTTTATTTTATTTTTTGGTAGATTACTCAGTTCTGGAAGTATAAAAAGAAAATATCTAATTTGAAAATGAATTTGAATTATATATGCTGATATGCATAATGCATGTAGAGCCGAAATATTTTAGTCTGAATAAAATTAAACTGAAGGTGGCTAAACACAGTATACTCAATTACTCATATTATCATCATTAGTCAAAATCGGAAATGGAAAAAAATGAGGATTAGAATAAATTTCAAGTCGGGCCTTGGGTTAGAGGAGTCATTATTCTTTGGGCAATGCGCGTTGGGTTTACATGCATGTTTGGGTCCATTCTTAACATTATAACTTTTTCTCTTATAAATGTATTCGTTTTTTTCTTTCTCATGAAAAATAATATTTTATGTGTGTGTGATCATAATATATTACAGCTTTCTCACATATTAAATTTTGGCGCCAACTATTAATCAAGTGCATATAATTTTGGCTAATAATTTCGCTTGATCTACGATCAACTTTTTATACTCCTAATACTTAATAAGGTGTGATTCATCTTTTTTTATCATAAACAGATAAACTTAACCTGGAACCAGTAACTGATCATCTAAATTAATGTCTTTGATAATTAGTTATCAATGGTGGATACCAATTTTTTTCATTTAGAGGAATCATAGACTTGCTATACGAAGATTAAAAGGATTTAAACACAACTTGGAACAAGTAGTTCAATTTTACTTTGCACTGCGTAAATAGAAAATTATATATTTTATAAAATCATAGATGTAATTGTATAATCCAATTAGTTCATATACATTTATTTCGTTAAGAACGATTTATCAATGTTTTTAATTTTTTTTTCAAAATAAAACTAATTGACAATATTACCTTAATGTGATTAAAATGACAGAGCATAATCAAAGTAATAATTAATAAGCATTCATTTGTTTTGTTTTAGTGAACAAAAAGTGTTTTTCCTTGAGTTGCTATGTGGCTCTCAGCTTGACACATTAACATTCTCTCTTACATGACTTCAAAATTAAATTATAGTAGAGGATATGTTTTCTTTATAATTAAGAGTAAATGATTATGTGATATATACATATTCTATTCAGGGATTTTATTTATGTCTGTCAAATAACAGAAACTGAGGATTGAAATTATACACGTATAAAGGGTTTCATTTTTTTTATTTTGTTCTAGTTGACTTAAAATAAAAAGAACTGATTGAAAAACGAAAGCCTTATACAAAAAGGTAATTTGTGTCATGAATAACTTAACTTAGTCATGAATTACGAAACCCTTATACAAAAAGTAATTTAATTAACGGTCTCATTCTGATTAGAGAGGTATTAGAGAAGTACTAGTGTCTTCCATCGTATATAAATTATGTGTATAGGTTTCGTCGTATTCGAAGTTTAAATCTACCAACCATTCTCATACATCGGATCATTTTATAATATCGGACCAGAACTAACGATTGTTTTCTTTTAATCCGAAGGAATATGAATATGGCGACATTCTGACTTTAAGCAAGACAAGAAAACGAGCAGTGATCATGCCACCACATTTTACTTTTTATTTTTATATAACCTATGCATTCTAAAAAAAACAACAATTCGTACAAGTCAATCCATTGATAATTAACAAAAATGTGATTATACCATAAGAATATCATAAACGATATGATGTCAACGACACATTCCATGAACCCGTGTGTATTATTCACGGAATTCGAAAGTTAAGAAGAGTAATAAGTCTTAAGAATGAATGGAACAGATAGGCAAATCCGTAAGATGCAATGTACCTTAACTCGTCCTCTAATTTTTGAAACTTAGAGACAATTGAACATATCTTCAAGCTGTGATTTTATTTTCTTTTATTTTCTTTAAAACTTATAAAGAAGATTTTATGTGGGGATGATCTTAAGACAAAAAACGAGTTTGATCTCATCTTGTCGGAATCTCCAACTCTATTCTGTGCCGTCCTAATAGATTAATTATGTTTATTTATCTTTTGTACGATTATACATACCTACTTAGCTTGACCTTTTATAACTTATAAGGCAATTTGCCTCCCAGCCGGACCAAAAAGATAAGAAGCTCAGATAACTTTTTTTTTTTTAATTAGCAAACAGTCAACTATAATACATACAAATTAGCTTATTCTTTTCACATGCCCATAACTTAGATTAATTTATGTGTATATATAAGGTGTTGAATTGATATTATACATACAACTATAATACCATGCATTTATATATAGTAAAAAGTGTTGAATTCGCTTTATTTGCTTCTAAATTTGAAAGTCTTCTAAGTAACGGAATTTTAAAGTATAGAACAAAAGAATGTTAACGCTTTGGCGTTAACACATGAGCTAGAACTTCCCATAGTTTATGGCTTATTTTCACTTCTATATTCGTATGGTTTTTAACCCCACACAAAACCAAATATATAGTAACTTTTGTGTTAAAAAAATGAGCTAAGACTTAACGTGAATTATATCATTGATAAATCATTTTACCAATCATATACATTATAGAAAGCTCATAGCTTCAGCCAAATAAGTTAGTTATCGTCTTATCGACGCCGGATATATCATGCTGCCTCCACAGAAATTAGCTAAGAGAGACCTACCGGACAATTAGTAATTAAAGGTTGAAAACGGCATGGATAAAAAGTTTCTTTTTATTTTCTTGTTCTTTTTAGTGTTGTTGAATTTGCGATAATGATTCCACAAATCGTGCATTGGCGTGACCATATTTTATACTTCACCGCTTCTCTTGTGTGGCCAATGTACAAAGTCTCTCTCATTATTATACTAATCTCTAACCATATATCTTATATATACATAATGTATTTTAATTTAATTATAATAGCTAGAGATGAATGGATGGTTATAAATAAGAATATGTTAATGTGTCGTGAAGGAACAAAGCCTGTTGTTGTCGACCCCACAAGTTGACTGATCGTGTTCATCATCATGCATGGCTTCGTTTCACTTATTTAATTAACGACTTGTTCACGACACAAATGATTGCACCAGTTTAAGAATCTCTTGATCTCTCTTCATCATCACCAAATCTTCCTCAAGAAATATTCTCTCCATCATCAAGTGTCTCCAACCTATATATATAGTTGCACAAGATCAAGAACTATCATAACAACAAACAAACAAACAACAACATACAAGAAGAAGAAAGGCAAGAGTTGAGGGTTAGAACGATGGACGTTTTTGTTGATGGTGAATTGGAGTCTCTCTTGGGGATGTTCAACTTTGATCAATGTTCATCATCTAAGGAGGATAGACCGCGAGACGAGATGCTTGGCCTCTCTAGCCTCTACAATGGTCATATTCATCAACATCAACACCATAACAATGTCTTATCTTCTGATCATCATGCTCTCTTGCTTCCTGATATGTTCCCATTTGGTGCAATGCCGGGAGGAAATCTTCCGGCTATGCTTGATTCTTGGGATCAAAATCATCACCTCCAAGAAACGTCCTCTCTTAAGAGGAAACTACTTGACGTGGAGAATCTATGCAAAACTAACTCTAACTGTGACGTCACAAGACAAGTAAGTGGAAGATAAATATATACTAATGTTTACATTCATTCATTATTACTATGCAATAAACTAAATACAATATCATTTATGTGGTATAGGAGCTTGCGAAATCCAAGAAAAAACAGAGGGTAAGCCCGGAAAGCAATACAGTTGACGAAAGCAACACTAATTGGATAGATGGTCAGAGTTTAAGCAACAGTTCAGATGATGAGAAAGCTTCGGTCACAAGTGTTAAAGGCAAAACAAGAGCCACCAAAGGGACAGCTACTGATCCTCAAAGCCTTTATGCTCGGGTAAGAAAACGTAAAACTTTATATATGTGACTTCTATCTCAAAACCAAATGACAATGCATAAAGTCCGTTTATCTATACGAGTTCTTAAGTGTGTTATTTAAATGTTGCAGAAACGAAGAGAGAAGATTAACGAAAGGCTCAAGACACTACAAAACCTTGTGCCAAACGGGACAAAAGTCGATATAAGCACGATGCTTGAAGAAGCGGTCCATTACGTCAAGTTCTTGCAGCTTCAGATTAAGGTAATTAAAGGGTTTTCGTTTCTTTTGGGCTAGAATATATATATTCACATGACTATCATTCATGTTCAAATTAACTAACCAAAATGCATATTTTTAAATGTAGTTGTTGAGCTCGGATGATCTATGGATGTACGCACCATTGGCTTACAACGGACTCGACATGGGGTTCCATCACAACCTTTTGTCTCGGCTTATGTGAAGGACTTGCAAGTTACAATATGTCATTGTAAAGAAACCGAATTTAGAACATATGTATCCATATTTGGGCCAACTGAAGAGATCTACCCTAAGATCCTACCATTTTTTTCTTGTTGTTCATTCTGATATTTTTCTTATTCTTAATTAACATCTTTTGTCTCTTTCGTCATTATGGTTCTAAGAACTTTTGGTACTCTCTATCTTTTTTGTAATTATATTTTTAAATTATGAAAAAGTCAACTCAGAATAATTAAATAACAGTCTTTCCTTTTGCAATTTTGAATCGTCAAATTGTATTATTTATGCCAGGGTTTCAGTTATGTTACGACTAAATATTCAATCTTCGAAAAAATAGAATTGAACTATTCGACCGACTTTATTGCAACTCATGATAAAATATGTAATCATATTTTAGATAGTTTTTTTTTTTTGTGGGTACTACATATTGTTGATTATGATTAACAGTGCCTAATAAGACAAAAGGTCAAGTCTTTTAATTCTTGTGATTAGCACTTAACTTGTGTCAAAGTTATCTCCAAACATTTGGATTAACAAAAAAACATTTGGCTGAAACAATACATTCCAACTTTATGCGTTCACACGATTTACCTCCAAACTTTTTTGTTTTGTTTTACCACCAAAACAATTAGAGCTTTTTACTAAACATTCTGATCTATTAGAGTCTACACAATCCGACAATATAACTGAATTATCGATTTTCATTTAGTAAACTTTGATATTTTTTATTTGTTTTTCAAATGATTACAGCAAATAATCAAATTCTATGATTTTGAAGATCATTGGAAAAATTCTTCTAAAATTTTTTTTTACCTAAACTCATCTAAAAACTTATCAAAAACAAATACAACTATTATTTTCTAAAAAAAATCAACTTAATACACCGTTCCTAGTTTCGGTTTGGTTTAATGGTTAAAAAAGCGATTCGGCTTTAGCCAAACCAAATCGTATCGTGATCGCTGCCGTGAAGCTTCTCCGCGAGTTAGAGGGTCTTAAACACTAACAAAAGACGGAACTGAAAACACAGCAACCGAGACTCTCTCTTCTCTCTTCTCTCTCCGTCGCTGCCATGGCTTGCGCCGAGCAGCCCATCAAAAAGCGTCGGCTGTATGAGTCAATCCCTGAATCTCAGCCTCCGCCACCACCGCTACCAGAATCCCAATCCCCTTCTACGGTGGTTAGCTCGTTCCCGGCTCCGGTGACACCGTCGCCTCCATCTCAGGAGGAAATTCAAACGAGAAGCAGGAACAGAGAAGAGATTCGAAGAGTGCATGACTGCTATAAGCGTCTTAAATCTTGTATTGGTCAGAGAGATGGCGGCGTCCGCTCTGCGAATCTTGAGCAAGCGTATCGCTCCCTCATCTCCGCTTCCAGAGGTTTATTTTCTCTCATTCTTAGCCCTCTTTTTTTTTTGTTTCTCTCTTCCGTTCGATTTTGTTTTACCCATTGGATGATTGAGAATCTGCCATTTTCCGGAGTTGGTGGAGTTCAAATTTTGCTTTTTATTGAGTTTTGTGGTTTTAGATTTCTCTGTATGAGAAAGAATACTTCTTAGTTGGCTACTCTTAACTGAATTAAGTGAATATTAGGGTTACAATTCATTAGCTCTAGCATTCAAAGTACAATCCTTGAATATGGCTGTTTTGGTAGAGTCCGGTATTGTTGTTCCTTTAGTACGCTGCACTAGACTGTGTATTTGTAGTTAGGATATCACAAAAGTTATTGTTCTTAGAGTCTCCTAGCTGGAATTAGATTCTCAACCATTCTCGAGGCTTGATAGGGCCATGTATATGCTGGTTAGGCGTCTCTTTCTTGCCTATGTCACACTGTGTCAGCTTTCATGAGTTCTTTCCAATTTATGTTACCCGTTCCATAGATTCCTTATGTATGTAGACGCCAAAAAGTATCAATATTTGTCAATTCTTGAGAAAAGCCTGCTCTTGTGGGGTTCACAATCTGTAGTTCCATTCATGTGTAAGGTGGGGATGGTGTGTAGTTATATGGGAATCATTCTACGAGAGGAAATATAGTGCAACAGAGTAAAGTTACAAAACTTTAGTTCTAAAGGTAGAATTTGTAGTTGACCTCCGGAATTTTCAGATTGTGTGAAACTCATACACAGTTTAAACTAAGAATTCTAATCTCTGGACACCTCCTAGAGTCATTTTGTGTAAAAGAATAGAAGCCTTAGATTGAAGTTTGTTGGAGTAATGATTTAGTTAGTTGCTTATACTTGCAGGTTGTACTAGCGTAAAGCGCCTTGTGGCTGATCTCGTTCCTCGATATGCACTGTACTGTCCTACTGCTATCGCAGATGCAGTGCAAGCTGTTATCGACATGCATAACTTCAGCTTGGAAGCTTTAAAGAGAGGACAAGATGTTGATGGTGTAGCTTTTCAAACTGCTAAAGCCTGCATATTTGGTCTAGTTGATCTATGTTCTGCTGCTTTATCAAAGAAAACGTCATCACCAGGGGCTCGTGATATCTGCTCTGCTGTGTTCAGAAATGTGTTAACCTTCTTTGTGCTTTCCTTTGAGGGGAAAGATATCTTCCAGATAGTTGATAAGAGCGATTTGAAGGTGCAAGATCCTGACGAAATTTTTTCTCAGCTGATGCAAAAACTTTCAGATGGAAACTCGTTACCTTTGATCAAACTATCCCAGTTTCGTGTTTTAGCTTTACTGAAAGTATTCTTCAACTTCCCTAAAAAATCAATTGCCACTTGTTTCGGATTCTTCAATTCTTCATCAACGGAGGATGTAGCCACGGGGAGGTATCTCATTACTCAGATGACAGAAAAGATTAATGATATTGATGCCGCTAGTAATGAACCTGAAGTAGACGAGAATTCTGGTCAGACAGGTTCTAACAATATAGAGGCTACTGGTAAGAATGCAGAAGGGTTGAATGGGGTGCAAGAAGCATCCAACAGTCTAACGAGCTGCTTATTAGGAATGGTAATGCTCTTAGTAGTGTAGAATCAATATAAGTATCATTTTCTTTAATTAGTTTGTTTCTTATTTGTGTAGGGCTTAAGTTATTATTATTCCCTGTATTGAGCATCAACCGTGTCACTCATTTTATTCGCTTGTTCTGTTCTTGGAACTCTGTATGGGTAATCTGTATTGGGTGTATAATCTGATAGTTTCAAGAATCCTTCATGCAGGTTATTAGGAAGAGTTCCTCCATTGGTAGGTGGGCCTTCTTTCAGTATGAGAAAATATGCAGCCTGTCATCCTTCGTGGATATATCCAATGCTATTCCTTCTCTAGAGGGAATCTTTGGATTTGTTGGAAAAGATATCAAGTTAGAAGATTGCCAAATGGAGAGTGACGAGGATGATTATGGAAAATTTTCAGTTTCACATGTGAAACCCCACAGTTCTGCAGACAATGATGTCCGCTCTAGTGCTGGATCGGTTTATGATGCTGGAGGTTCACGATCCATGGATTTTGAGACTGTTGACCAGAGAGACTTGTCATGTGGTAGATCTTCAGTCCCAAGGGGATTAATAAACCATCATACACCATCTCCATCTGCAAGGGGGCCTTCTGATTTAAGGAGTAACTCTGTGGATCGTAGGAACAGTTTTGTTCTTGCAGGATCACCTGTTTATCAGGCAGTACCCCATGGCCCTTCATCAGGGCAAATTGTTTGGTATTTAGATGGGGACCCCACTGCTTTTGACATTTTTCCGGCTTCGGGGCAGTTGTGGTTAGGCTATTTAGGACCAGATGAGACTGAAGGTCATCTAAGGTTTCAGCTTGATAGGTACGGCCCAGTAGACCGTTTCTTTTTTGATCCAGTGAAAGGATTTGCGCTAGCAGAATATAGAAGTATAATTGATGCAATCAGAGCTCGAGAATATCTGCGAGCGCAATTTCCTTGGCGCATTAAATTCATGGATATAGGAGTTGGTGCAAGGGGATCTTTGAATGGAGTAGCATATGGTTATTGTACTCATTTGTATATTGGAAGCATCAGTAGCCAGTGGGAGAGGGATGAAATTGTCCATGAGTCGCGGCAAGCCCTTTATAAGGGGCCTCGCATGGTGACTGACCTGTACTATGAACATGCCCTTCTGATGGAGTTTGATTCACCTGATGATGCTGCCATTGTAATGGCCCATCTCAGATTTTTTCGCGGAGAAAAGAGTAAATTTCATTTGGCATCAATCAATCGTCCTTTGCCTCATGAAGATGGAGGAAGGTTTGTCTCCGCTTCTTCTGACCTATGTTTTCTTTGGTGATTTTGAAGTTGACATTATTAGTAATAGTTAAATATCCACTAGACTTTGTATCTTCTCACTCTGAAGCATTCTGACTTGGGATTAGTTATGTACTTTATGTTGTTGCTGTTTGTTTTTGTCTCATTGGTTTGATGTGGAAGTTTCTTGTCTGAACAGTCATCCAGAGAGGCACCTTCAAGTACCTCCCTCATCAAAACAGGATAGTGGATCAGGAGAATATGTTTCCCCCTTAATGAGTACGGATAACCACTGTAATTCTGTACCTCCTGGAGCTACCTTTCAGCAAAACTGGCCTGCATCTGGTAGCACTCTTGTGAATTCTGCACAAAGAGGTTAGTTTTCTCTCTAATCTTTCCTGAATAGTGAATGCTTTTTCACTTGTGACTGAAAAAGATGTGTATGAAACTAAGACAACTATTCCTCAGTCTCAGGAACTCCTCCATGTGTGCCCTTACCAGCTCCAGGACAGCCTGCAGTGCCTGCTACACCGACATCTCAAATCCCTCCATCTCCGTTTGTTCAACAACCCATTTACCCTCCTTCAAACAGCTCTTGGGATACAAGATCTCTAATCTCTCCAAGCGGTGATGCTGTAGCAACATCATCACAGATGCAAGGACTTCCAGCGCAGCAGGTTTCAGGTCCATTCATGCCGCCTCCTGTGCATCCAGTCTCTCAGACACAAGGACCTCAAGTTCAGCAATTTGATCAATTGTACCCACCTCCGCCTTTAGGACATTCATTACCCTCTGTAATCCAGCCACCACTACAACCTCAATCCCAGCCACCGGAACCACCGCCTGAAATGATGCCGCCTCCGCCTCAAGCTCCACCACCTCCTTTGCCTCACTCACACCCACCTCTGGTTCCTCCTCCTCCTTTTTCTCCATCATCGTCCCCACGCTTACCTCCAATGGTCACCCAGTTGTGTGGACCAGAGGCTTCCAAACAGAACATACGGCACCAATGGCAGGGTGCTTTGTCCAAAAGTGGAGTTCATTACTCCACCATTATTGCACAGAGATTGGAATCAGACATTTGCAAATATATTATTGGATCTTCAGAGCCTGTGCAGTGAGTGACAACACTTGATTTGTTGTCTTGTGTTCAAATTATGTCTTTCTCTATAATCAAGTGATGTGCTATGAGAATGAACATTCGTTTCCTGTCTTTTTACTTCGTGCAGATGGCCAGTTAAATTGGATATGACCAAGCGTACGGATATGAAGAACGTAAAAGCTACTTTTGCGAATACACAACCACACAAAGTGAGTTTCCAACTCCATTGCCAAGTACAATTTCTTTGAATGCAAGCTTTTTTCTTACGATATAAGGAGTGTTGTTTTGCAGAGGGAGGTTTGTCAGTTAATTCCTGCTACTTTCAGCGATCGTAAAGGGGTATGTGATCACCTTTTCAAACCCTGAATCATCTAAACGGTCATAACACCATTTTGTTCCTGCGTAAATATAACTCTATCAAACTCACTTTTTGGTGCAGCTCCAAGATTTCATATCATACTTGAGGCAGAGAGATTGCGCAGGAGTAATAAAGATCCCTGCATCAAGTCCCATGTGGGCAAGGCATCTCTTCATTCTTCCGCATTCGCAAGAGACATGTTCTTTGCTTTCGGTGTCCCCGTCTTCCTCTGAATGCTTGATCGGTTTGGTTTTGCCCAAGGATACAAATGCCGAGGCCTCATGACACATAAACTAGTGTACCCCGGGACAAGGTAGAATAAATGAAGACTCCCATTACTTATGTGCTTAAGATAGTAGTTCTAAATCACATTGTAAATGAACTTACTAGTGTAATCTCACTCTTTCTTCTCCCTTTTGAGGGTTGTCAATTGTAGATTTGTTTCAACGATTAACTGTCTCATCTTCTTCTACATAAAAGAGACAATAGTTTGGTTAAGGTTTTGTGAGTATGCGTTTTGCGTTTGGTTGAAGACATTCTTTGAGTAGTAAACCACGGTTTAAGAAACCGGACCGGACCGGCGGATTAGAAACACAATTTAGTTCAGTAATGGTGAAACGCAATTTTTAGCAATCACAAACGCAAACGCTGTTCAAGGAATCCCAATCGTTCAAAAGTGTTTTGTTGACGACATTGACGAGTGCGTATATCAGCGGCTGCGCCTTTAGCTCCTCCTTCCTCCCGCCCTCTTCGTCTGAATTACAGGTTTCCTCCGGCGAATCATCTCTTCTCTTCCATCGCCGATCATCTCACAGAAACAACCATGTCTAACAGACGCTCGAATAGGCAAGATGAGAACACAAGATACATCCCCAAGGGTCATCAGCAGCAGAAGTTTGTACCCAAACCTATGAATCCAACTCCTATCTCTAATTCTACTCCTTTCCCCGTTTCTCTCTCTTCTTCGCTTAGGCAATCAGATTCCTCCGGTGCGAGTTCCAGAGTCTCCGCTTCGGGTGTTAGTAGGGTTAGGATGGGGGATCAGGGACAGTTGGTATCTAGCAAAAGCCCGGCTCAAGGCGGTGGTAGTTTCGTGAATTACTTGCCGCAGGACGAGGCTGTAGCCGCTGGTCTTGGACCTGATGATGGAGGTTTGGATCCAGTGGAGTCTCAGGGAGTGGTGGATCTCCTCAATAGAGAGCTCACAAGGCTGCTTAAGCTCAATCCTAGAGATTTTTGGAGAGAAGGTCATAGCTTCTTTTGATTTTATGTCAGTTTGGTTCATAATGTCTAATATTTCTTAGTTTAGCTTTGGTCTCTCGAGTTTCAACTTTTTGTGATGGATTTTGGGCTGAAGTGACTTCTCTTGATTAATGGCAGTGGCTAGTGATGCATCGTTGCATGATTTTCTGGATAGCTTCCTGCAGTTTAGAAGCAGATGGTATGATTTCCCTTTTCATGGTGTCAAGGGGATTGTTGCCGGCGTGATTGTCGGAGAACTCGAGTTATGCCGCCGTGTTTTCATGGTCTTATACAGAATGTGAGCAGCTCCCTGTTTCATAATCTGAAGCTTTTTGTCGAATAGTCTTTTTCATCATGGATATTCGATGTTTTTTGGTCTTGCAAGTTGAGTGTTTGTATATTGGTTGTGGCAGATCGTCTAATAAGGATCCCGGTGCTAGAGCTGCTGATAGCCTCAGTCAGAAAGATCATGAAGGTGGCCTTTTGATCTTTGTCTATGCTAATTCCATTCAGTTGTTGTTATTTATTTCGTTCTGAAAAAAGGAACTGAACATAGAATGAAAGATTAACATGCCTCAATGTTTATATTATGTTATCCCGCTGTGTTACTAAATCTTAGGCTATAATTCTTTTGTGTCTCGTTTTCGGTGTAAGCTACCTTTCCTAATCTAAACTGGAGAATGATTCGCAATGTTTCTTTTCTTTCCAAGTCTCTGGGACTATTATACCATCTAAAGCTGAAGTAAATTTCCATTATTCACTCAGGGATATAGTTAGAAGTAGGGACTCTTGTAAAGGGGATATGACTATTGTGATTATTTTCACACACTGATTTTTTAACTCAGGGTTAGATTCCTTTACATGTTCCATTTGAATTTTGGAAAAGCTTTACGAGTATTATGTGTAAAAGTTGTGCTTATATTGGCTGACTCCTTTACATGTACCATTTAGGTTTTGGATAAGCTTTACGATTCTTATGTGTAAAATTGTGCTTATATTAGTCGACATTTGTGCTCAGGCGAGTTTGATTGTAAACTTAGCTTGTCTGTAAAGGATTATTTCTTAGACCAGCTCAACATAGGTAACTGACTAGACTTGGTTAGTCTTGGGCAGGGTAAAATAGAGCTAGCAGCAGAACATGTGGTTCTTCTTGAATATATTGGGAATTTGGATTGGTTTTAAGGATCAGGTAGTGAGAGGAGTCTTCTCATTAATTAAGACTTTCTAGGATGAATTGAGTTTTTCTTCTTTTTTCTTTTCATTGTGCCTGACGAGTTTTGTAGGAAATTTAAAAGATTGTTTTCTAGCTTACCAGTGTTGTTTGTAGTTCTCCTGCAGGACAAGAAGTTACTGGACTTGCCGAAGTTATTGGATATATGTGCTATATATGGACATGAGAATGTAGAGCTCACAAAATCTTTAGTAAGTCCTTGGAAAATTACACTAACTTGTTCCGAAAGCTGAGATAATCTCTCAACTCTGTGCATCATTATGTTAGGTTTGATTATCTTTTTGTGACATTTGACATCCTGGGATTCCCAATTGCTTCTGGATAATAAAGCTGAGATAATCTTCTATTCTTTTGCTAATCTAGTTGTCTATTTTCCCAGATTGAAAATGCTGTGAAATCACAAAACGGGATTCCTGAAAGTTTGAATATGATGTTGTCTCATTTCTTGGGCATCCTGCACACAATGCATCACCGTTGCACCTCATCTTTGGAGGTATGTTATATGTATTTAATTTCAGAAACTCCACTTGGGAGAAATTAGTAAAATTAAAGGTGTATAACTTTCCCTTGGATCTATTTTCGTGTTTGCAGACCTTAGTATCAAGTGAAGACCATGGACATAGACAACTCCATTCAGACCTTTTGGAGGTGAATTTCCGGCCCCTTTTTTCTCTTAATTTCTCTGTTGTGCATTCCCTTCTGTAGACACATGACACTAGTAACATGTTAATTATATTCGTTTTAGTTCTTTAAGGGTTAGTTTAAAAGTGCATATAGTTTAAACATATAATTTAAAAACGTGATACATGACTTGTTTGTGTTGATCTCTTCCAAGATATCTATCTAAGGCCTGATAAGGTTTTCTTTGTTACATAGGACATGCATATGAACTGATTATTCTAGATTAAGGAAAGATGAAGCTTCCTTTAGGAATTGGCTTTAATATATATTTCTCTTTTAATATATTTCATCTTTATTATATTTTTGACATGAATACGTGTGAGTGAGCATGCAGAAGCAAAACGCAAGTGTGCACACTCTTAACACACTCCACTGTTCAAAATATAGCATGCCAAGTTTCTTCTCTTGTTGTAATTCATAACATGAACACAGGATTTTTCTTGTTTATAGTGTATGGGCATGTAATGCATCCGTGCTAATGTTTTTTTCTATCTGATTAGGTTATGGACTTCATTAATGATGGAGTTGTGTCTCTGGATGCTTTCATTTCTGCCTATACACCAGCAGTTTTAATCTTAGCCTGTCCTGTTGAGACAAGGTATGCACCATCTTCTATCTAAATTTTTTAATTTCTCTTGTGAGAGAAATGTACTCTGAGTAGTATCTCTAAATCTTGCGCCTATCATACATGATCAGTTGACATAAATCATCTGTTACTGGATTTGTATTGAATTCCACTATGAGATTACCATGATTGATGGAAAAACAGTATTTATAGTGAAACTTTGGTTGCTATTAGTGATCTATATTTGGCTTGTTTTGGATTTGTTTTTGTCATAACCTAAATCCATCTGTGCAGTTATGGGAGCGATGAACTTCTCCGCAGCCTTGTTCGGTTGCATGATTCATTGCTTCCATCACTTCATCGTGGCTTTCAGGTCTTGTTCAAGGATGGAGACCATGATTCTCTTTCAGACATATCAACGAGTTTAAGCATGTTATCAACAAGGATAGGAAGTTTATGTTGGAAAATATTAGATATTTGTTATCTCAGCAATGATATGTCCAATCACGAAACTTCAATTCCAGCGGTCACAAAGATGTTCCCGTCAAGAGTTGAGGACCCTATGGTAAGGGCAGATATACTGATCCAAACATTCAGGGAGATCAGTGGACTTTCTGAGCAGTCACTGGAAAGCAAGAACCGATTACTCCAAAAGATTGAGAAGAATTACAGAATCATCGATAGACTTAGGAGTCTACAGAATGCAGGTATTTTCTTCCACAATTTGGTTCTGCCCAGCTGTTACCTGATTTTCCATGTTAAAGTCAGTTCCAGTCTTTAGTATGTATGGTCTGTTAGGATAGATTGTGTAGTTCACTGAAGGTGAAATAAGCAACACATTAACTTCACTGCTAGCTAGTGAAATTTTCTGCATAAGCTAGCTCTTTGTTTCTGAATGCCATGAGTTTAAGCGGTAGTCTAAAGCAGCTTGTTATTGGTTTCTATGCAGGATGGGTATCTATGGAAGATGAGCAGCTTCAATATTTGTCCATGATCATGTTGCATTCTGCAGACACTTTCTCTATGAAGGAGTCACCGCTTCTTCTAACTGATGGTAGAAACACCGAAGAGCTTATGGATGAAAGTGCTGTAGTTATGCAATCCAAGATCAGTCAAATAAAAGACATATTCCCTGAGTATGGGAACGGTTTCTTAGCTGCGTGTCTTGAAGCCTATAACCAGAATCCAGAAGAAGTTATACAGAGGATTCTTGAAGGAACACTCCATGAGGATTTGCAGCGATTGGATACTTCACTGGAGACGATCCCACAACCTAAATCTGCTCCAACTCTTAGAAGCAAAGACAAAGGGAAAGGAAAGCTCATTGAATCTGACACTAGTAGCTCTGCTATCTACACAGAGCAACCGATCACACGTCCCTCACTTCCAGCTTCATCAGCCTCATCCACAACAGTTTGCAGATTTGTCAGAAAGCCAAAGGATGATACTCCAAGCTACAAAATTCTCGATGCTAGAAAAGAATCCGACAGAGAGAGGAACGCAGCCCTACTTGCACAATACGAATACGACGATGAATACGATGATTCTTTTGATGATCTGGGCTTGAGTGTTGCAGAATCAGGTACCGAAGAAAGCGGGACGTTTGGTAACAGAGCTGGATCCGAGCCCTCTGATGCTCCAAAGTGGGGTAGCAGAAAGAATCCTCAATTCTATGTGAAAGATGGTAAGAACTACAGCTACAAAGTGGCAGGCGCAGTTGCGGTGGCAAACGCAAACGAAGCTTCACTGGTAAATGAAGCAGAGGGAGATAAGATACTTGGGTTGGGACGTGGAGGAAACATTCCTCTCGGAGCGGTTAGAAAGCTGACAGAGTATCAGGCACAGAGAGATGAGAAAGGTCAGTCTAATGTGAACGTAAATGCGAACCCAAGCGACGGAAGAGAGAATGGGAGAAACTGGAGAGGAGGAAGGGGAAGAGGAAGAGGAATGGCGAACAGAGAGCAACCGCAGGAGAAGAGTAATGAGAGTAATAATAACGACTCAGAGGTTAATACAGAAGCGGAGAATGGAGGAGGAAGGGGTCGAGGAAGGGGACGAAGAGGAGGAGGAGGAGGGAGAAATCATAATCATAAAGATAGAGCTATGAAGAAACATATTGCTAGTGTTTCTGGCTTCTAGATGTTAAAAAAGTAACAAAAAGCACAATACGTTTTTGTGGGTCTTTTTTTTTTTGGATACATGGGAGAAACTAAATTTTTACAAAATCAATACTTCATTTGATTGTAATGCTTGTTTTTGGTAATTAAAAGAAGAAAACTAGCATATTAGTATTCCCTTTAGTTTTGGTTAAACAAGTTTCTTTTGATATATAAATGCAACAGTAATAACCATTCCAAATTTCCAATTAGACTCACTTTGACCCAGTTCTATCTTTTTATCTTTCTTCTTCTTCACGTAAAAAAAAAAGAGAAGTTCTTTCTTATTGCGTTGTGAATTTGTAATGGCAGTAATTAATTAGTCGCAAACTCGCAATCATGAAACGAACAGCAGCATTTATGTGTGTATGAAAAAAAAAGATTTATTATCTATTATTTTATTTGTGGTAGATAACGATCGAGTTTGTGAGGTCTACGTAGCACACGAGAAAGTGTACATTTTGTTATGTTAATTATCCACGTGATTAATAATATACTACAAGTGGAAAAAGATAAATAAAAAGGAGAGCATCCGGAAAAAAAAGAAAATAAGGATTAGCAAATCCTAAACATGTGGAAAATATTGAGCAAATTTAATTTGGATAAGGAGTTTAATAATGGACTTCCTTATATATAAGGAATAAAGTCGATGGCGATTAATCATTAGACAGAGAAAAAAAAACGAGAGAGAGACGTAATTATACAAAAGCTTACGACGAGAAGTTTTTCATTCAAAATTATAAAAGCTTACGTACGAGGAGAAAGATGATCATCAAATCCTACATGAGAAACACGAACCGTTCGGCAGCACTAGCATTCGTTCCGGTTCATCGTGCAGAATATCTAAGTATGTTTTAAATTTTATGATGTAGATTTTGACCTAAATTCTAAGAATTATATATAATTTTGATAGTGCATCATGATGTTTTAAGTTCAGTATATCGATTAGGAGAAAACTAGATGAATATAACCTTAAAGTTTTTCTTTTCGTTTATTTTTTTTGACATTTTAGTTGATAAAAAACTATAAACTACAAACCTAACCATGTAATCAAAGCTAATGAAAAAAGGAAATTGAAACTAATGAAAAAAAAGGAAATCGAAATTGTAATCACGTCGGCAAGTTAAAATCCAACGTCGAGAGAAAAGCCACGTGTAAGAGGATATTCCCATATGTGAATGGGATTTAGATTCTTGTCCGATTTCAGCGAGAAGAGTCTTCTTGGTACGCCTCTCTCTCTATATATAAAGGTCATCACTTTCCTCCTCACGTTTCTTCCTTTGGCATAGACGAAAGTCTGAAACTCTTCTCTTGACCTCTTTCTCTCTTACCCTAAATCAAAATCGCCTCTTTAATGGATCTATCGCCTCTCCGATCTCATTCTTCCTTATCTTCCAAACTTTTATTGCTCTTCTTTTGTAGTTTTCGTGCTTCGATTCCTTCTTCAGTTGTTTCCGATCGTCGTAATCCTTCTACTTTTCAGTTTCTCTTATAATTCCCTTTGAATATCGTTTTTTTTTTTCCAATTTCCGCAAATAATTGAATCAGCCGCCGATAAGACAATCATGGGGAGGAGTAAGATTCTGGTTCTTCAATTTTAGTTCAATTTCACCTGGATTTGTTTGTTTTAGGATTCAATTAGGTTTTAATTGATACTAATTTACTATGAAATCTCTTATATACCCAATTTTTGTTTTCGTTAATGCTTTTATAAATTTGGATGCTTTGATTCACTTTTGCTGGAATTTTTGCAGAATCTCAGCGTAAGAACGCGACAATGTTTGATAGTGATGATGATACAAGTAGTGTAAGCTCTTCCTCCACCATGCCATCTGAGAGAGTGTTGAATCCTGGTATGGATGAAGTTACGGTTCACAAAGATGCTTTGTTGGATCAATCCCTTGATGCTCTCTATGAGAAAAGGTCTGTCTTTCTCTTTTCTTTTAAACTCATGTGCTTTTGCTTTATTTTGATGCAATTCTGATATTTTTGATTCTTTTGTTTTGTGGATGTGAAGGAGTTCAACTAGAGAGCAAGCTTTGGCCTCCATTGTTGACGCATTCAACAGCGACTTGCAGTATGAGTTTGTGGAAAAGAAGTAAATATCTGATACTCTGTCCTTCTTTAGTTTTTAACAATCCACTTCAAAAATCTAAGAGTCTTCTAGTGTAGTTTAATCTTACTTATGACACCTGTTTCTTCTTAATTTGATGCAGGTTTGCCACTTTATTGCACCAATGTTTACACTGCACCAAGAAAGGGTCTACTAAGGAGACCGCATTAGCATCTCATGTTATTGGTGAGTCTCTGAGTAATAGACAACTCATGCATCATCTTCATCAATTTTCTTATCAAGTCATATTAACAGTTAATCGTTGTCGTTGCAGGGTTGTTAGCATTGACTGTTGGACTTGGGGATCAATCACAAGAGATTTTGGAAGAATCTGTTACTCCTCTTTCTCAAGCCCTTAAATCTGGTCGTGAAATCTTGAAAATAACTTCGGTATGGATGATTTGATTATCGATCAGTTTTTCATTACTTTACAGGTTTCTAAATAATGTTCATCTTGGATTCATGGTTGTTGATATTCTGCCATTTCATTGTAGATACTTGAGTGTTTAGCAGTTATAACCTTTGTTGGCGGGAATGATCCAGAGCAAACCGAGAGATCTATGCAAATAATCTGGCAAATGATCCACCCCAAACTAGGGTCTAATGTATGCATTTTACTTTTTCTCATATTACAAGTCTTTTCAATTTGATTTATTAAGAAAGTAGGTTCTTAAGTCTAAAGTATGAAGTAGTCTCATAACCTTTGTTGGCGTTTGTTGTAGGTTGTGGCAACTAAACCTTCACCTGCTGTAATAAGTGCTGTTGTCTCTTCCTGGGCGTTTCTGCTCACAACAGTTGATCGGTGGACGCTAGGTCCTAAAATTTTTCAAGAGTAAGTGGAGTGTCGTGCTTTTCTTCAATCTAATCTTACTTATTCACAGACATATAAGCTGACTGAATATTAATGTCATTGCAGGACCGTAACTTATCTCTCTACACTGTTGGAAAAAGATGACCGATCTGTACGTATAGCTGCTGGTGAAGCGCTTGCAGTGATATATGAGTTGGGTACTCTAGAGAAGTTTGCTGCCGAAGTCAAAGGGTCTGCTAATGGATCAGTGAAAGAAGGAAGTGTGTCCCAGGAGGCATTGATGCACATGCATGGCTTGAAAGCTAAGGTCACTAAACAAGTTAGAGAGCTCTCTGCGGAGGCAGGTGGTAAAGGTTCTGCTAAGAAAGATCTCAACACCCAACGGAATTTGTTCAAAGATCTTGTTGAATTTCTTGAGGTATATCTTCTACACCTTTTCTCCTGTTGAGGTTTAAGTTCGACTTTTCTGGTCGGATTTTATATATGATATGTTTTAATTATGATTAGGATGGGTACGCTCCTGAAACCTCAACAAAAGTTGGAGGGGACTATTTACAGACGTCAACGTGGTATCAGATGATACAGTTAAATTATTTGAAGCATTTCCTTGGGGGCGGCTTTATTAAGCATATGCAGGTCTGTTTTCTTATTTGCACTTTATTCAAGTGTCGACTCTTAAGTTTTCTATCATAATAAAGCTGACGCTGTGCTGTTTCTTACAATTTGGTTATCAGGAGAATGAATTCCTTCATGATGTATTTAGTTTCACTCCAAAGAAGATTGGTGGAGGAAAGTTGTCTAATGACGAAAAGGTATGTTTCCGGTATCTTGTATCTCTATTCGCTGTCTCGGATCTTTATCCCATTGTACAATGTTTGCTAACGAAACTGGATTTTTGCGATTATTTTGTTGCAGAGGTTGTTTAAATCACCAAACTCAGCTCTCAACAAAGCAAGAACGCAGTTCCTGGCCAAGCAGAGGATGTTAGCTAAGGTATTATAAATTGTGATTTATCGTCTTATCTGGGAATTGTGTTGTGCAGAGAGAATAAGAAATTGTTTCCAATTGTGATGCAGAATATGAACGTTGGGCATTACGCAGCGACAGCAATGATGGAGGAAGAATGATCGCTTTTCAATTGATTTTGAAGCTTTGCACACTCATCTGCTGCTTTTGGAAAGTGTTGTTGTATCATTACTACTACACTTTTTCTTGTTTCATGTTTTTGATTATTGGTTCCATCATTATAACCAACACTTAGAAATCTCTTTTCATTTATAACAATTTTCGACCGTCTTGAGTGTACTATGATTCAACAGTTGTTGCTGTTAGAGATTGACCAATTGTATTTTGAGCTGAGACTCGGAATTGTCTCTGAATAATTTTGTCACATGATTCTGCTTTCAATTTGGGTTCGAATTTTTTAGTTTTCGGTTTTATAGTAATTTAGCCTATGTACTGTTGACAAACAAAATTGTCACGTTTCACTTTTTGACTTTTTCAGTAAAAGTTATCCAACAGAAGAACAAAAGATTTAAGCACGAGAAGTTCCACAACAATAATATTTACGAAGCAAATGCTCCTCCAAATCACTTGTACATTTGGCCAAAATGAAAAAAAAAAAAAAAAAAAAAAAAAAGTACCGTAACTTCCAAGGCCATCTTGGGATATCAAACTTCCAAAGGCCGGAGAAAAAGTTGGTACCTTCCAAAGCCAATGTTGTGGCACAACGAATCACATTTAATAATATGTATCTTAATGTGAACCAACAGGGATCATCTTCAAGGCAGCAGCAACAGGCATGCCAAGGAACCCTAGCATGATGCTAACCAACCATTGTCCCAAACTTAGAGGTGTTGTATCCGCAAATGTACCCAGCAGCTCGATTATTATTACTTGGAACACCACTGTACACATTAGAACCGCTACGAATACATAGTTCTTTAGTATCCCCTTGAACACATCAATCTTTTCCATTTCCCTCGAGCTTATCTCATTGAATACCTGAAAAATATATTATACATTATAATGATAATGTGGTAATGGCCAATGTTGGTTGTTTCTTTTTTAAGATTCAGACGCGGCTCGTTAC